TGGCAGTGAGTAGGTCCAGAGACATGTTGGACAAAACCCACTGAGTCGATAATGGCTCCGAAAGACTTTTGGAGTGGGTCTGTGGACTTCTCCATGTGAATATTAAAATCACCAAAAATTAGAATATGATCTGCTATGACTACAAGGTCTGATAGGAATTCAGGAAACTCAGAGAGGAACGCTGTATATGGCCCAGGAGGCCTGTAAACAGTAGCTATAAAAAGTGATTGAGTAGGCTGCATAGATTTCATGACTAGAAGCTCAAAAGATGAAAACGCCATTTTTTTTTTTGTAAATTGAAATTTGCTATCGTAAATGTTAGCAACACCTCCGCCTTTGCGGGATGCACGGGGAATATGGTCACTAGTGTAACCAGGAGGTGAGGCCTCATTTAACACAGCAAATTCATCAGGCTTAAGCCATGTTTCAGTCAGGCCAATCACATCAAGATTATGATCAGTGATTAGTTCATTGACTATGACTGCCTTTGAAGTGAGGGATCTAACATTAAGTAACCCTATTTTGAGATGTGAGGTATCACGATCTCTTTCAATAATGGCAGGAATGGAGGAGGTCTTTATCCTAATAAGATTGCTAGGGTGAACACCGCCATGTTTAGTTTTGCCCAACCTAGGTCGAGGCACAGACACAGTCTCAATGGGTATGGCTGAGCTGACTACACTGACTGTGCTATTGGCAGACTCCACTAAGCTGGCAGGTTGGCTAACAGCCTGCTGCCTGGCCTGCACCCTATTTCACTGTGGGGCTAGAGGAGTTAGAGCCCTATCTATGTTGGTAGATAAGAGGAGAGCACCCCTCCAGCTAGGATGGAGTCCGTCACTCCTCAGCAGGTCAGGCTTGGTCCTGTTTGTGGGTGAGTCCCAGAAAGAGGGCCAATTATCCACAAATGTTATCTTTTGGGAGGGGCAGAAAACAGTTTTCAACCAGCGATTAAGTGCTGAGACTCTGCTGTAGAGCTCGTCACTTCCCCTAACTGGGAGGGGGCCAGAGACAATTACTCGATGCCGACACATCTTTCTAGCTGATTTACACGCTGAAGCTATGTTGCACTTGGTGACCTCTGACTGTTTCATCCTAACATCGTTGGTGCCGACGTGGATAACAATATCTCTATACTCTCTACACTCGCCAGTTTTAGCTTTAGCCAGCACCATCTTTAGATTAGCCTTAACGTCGGTAGCCCTGCCCCCTGGTAAACAGTGTATGATCGCTGGGTGATTCGTTTTAAGTCTAATACTGCGGGTAATGGAGTCGCCAATGACTAGGGTTTTCAATTTGTCAGAGCTAATGGTGGGAGCCTTCGGCGTCTCAGACCCCGTAACGGGAGGAGTAGAGACTAGAGAAGACTCAGACTCAGACTCCGACTCGCTACATAATGGGGAAAACCGGTTGAAGGTTTCTGTCGGCTGAATGAGCGACACCGGTTGAGCATTCCAACAGTATTTCCCTCCAGAAGCCATGAGAAAGTTGTCCGGCTGCGGGGACTGTGCGGGGGGATTTATACTAACGTTACTGTCTGTACTTACTGGTGGCACAGACGCTGTTTCTTCCTTTCCTACACTGAGATTACCCTTGCCTAACGATTGCGTCTGAAGCTGGGCTTGTAGCACAGCTATTCTCGCCGTAAGGCGATCGTTCTCCTGTATATTATGAGTACAGCGACTGCAATTAGAAGACATCATGTTAATGTTACTACTTAGCTTCGGCTGTTGAAGATGTTGATGAACCATGTCCAGATAAAGCGTCCGGAGTGAAAAAGTTGAATAAGGGAAAAAAGTTGCGATGGAAAAAAGGAAAATAACGTAAAGTTGGCAGCTAAAACGCACAGGAAAATGACTCTTCTGTCTCGGGATAAACGTCCGGGGTGAAAAAGTTTAACGAAAAAAGATGAGTGAGGACAAAACTAAAAAGTTGGTAAATTTGTTGAACACAGAGATTGATTAAACGTTTATTAAAAGTAAAACGTGAATAGTTTGGCAGGTAGCCAAGTAGCAACAAACAGCACAGCAGCACGGAGACAATGCGGAAGCGAGACGGAAGTCTCGCTTCCGCATTAAGTCTCCAGACCTTAATCCCATAGAAAATCTGTGGAGGGAGCTGAAGGTTCGAGTTGCCAAACGTCAGCCTCGAAACCTTAATGACTTGGAGAAGATCTGCAAAGAGGAGTGGAACAAAATCCCTCCTGAGATGTGTGCAAACCTGGTGGCCAACTACAAGAAACGTCTGACCTCTTTGATTGCCAACAAGGGTTTTGCCACCAAGTACTAAGTAATGTTTTTCAGAGGGGTCAAATACTTATTTCCCTCATTAAAATGCAAATCAATTTATAAAATTTTTTACATGCGTTTTTCAGGATTTTTTTATTGTTATTCTGTCTCTCACTGTTCAAATAAACCTACCATTAAAATGATAGACTGATCATGTCTTTGTCAGTGGGCAAGCGTACAAAATCAGCAAGGGATTAAATACTTTTTTCCCTCACTGTACACCTTAGCCAAATACATTTAAACTCAGTTTTTCACAATTCCTGACATTTAATCCTAGTAAAGATTCCCTGTCTTAAGTCAGTTAGGATCACCACTTTATTTTAAGAATGTGAAATGTCAGAATAATAGTAGAGAGAATGATTTATTTCAGCTTTTATTTCTTTCATCACATTCCCAGTGGGTCAGAAGTTTACATACACTCAATTAGTATTTGGTAGCATTGCCTTTAAATTGTTTAACTTGGGTCAAACGTTTCGGGTACCCTTCCACAAGCTTCCCACAATAAGTTGGGTGAATTTTGGCCCATTCCTCCTGACAGAGTTGGTGTAACTGAGTCAGGTTTGTAGGCCTCCTTGCTCGCGCACGCTTTTTCATTTCTGCCCACAAATTTTCTATAGGATTGAGGTCAGGGCTTTGTGATGGCCACTCCAATAGCTTGATTTTGTTGTCCTTAAACCATTTTTCCACAACTTTGGAAGTATGCTTGGAGTCATTGTCCATTTGGAAGACCCATTTGCGACCAAGCTTTAATTTCCTGACAGATGTCTTGAGATGTTGCTTCAATATATCCACATAATTTTCCTTCCTCATGATGCCATCTATTTTGTGAAGTGCACCAGTCCCTCCTGCAGCAAAGCACCCCCACAGCATGATGCTGCCAACCCCATGCTTCACGGTTGGGATGGTGTTCTTCGGCTTGCAAGTGACCCCCTTTTTCCTCCAAACATAACGATGGTCATTATGGGCAAACAATTATATTTTTGTTTCATCAGACCAGAGGTCACTTTTCCAAAAAGTACGATGTTTGTCCCCATGTGCAGTTGCAAACCGTAGTCTGGCTTTTTTTATGGCTGTTTTGGAGCAGTGGCTTTTTCCTTGCTGAGTGGCCTTTCAGGTCGATAAAGGACTTGTTTTACTGTGGATATAGATTATTTTGTACCTGTTTCCTCCAGCATCTTCACAAGGTCCTTTGCTGTTGTTCTGGGATTGATTTTCGCACCAAAGTTTGTTCATCTCTAGGAGACAGAACGCGTCTCCTTCCTGAGCGGAATGACAGCTGCATGGTCCCATGGTGTTTATACGTGCGTACTATTGTTTGTACGGATGAACGTGGTACCTTCAGGCGTTTGGAAATTGCGAAAGTTACAGATGCACAGATATCATACCCCCAAGACATGCTAACCTCTCACTATTACAATAACAGGGGAGAGGTTAGCATTTTTTTTGGGGGGGGGGGGTGTATGATATTTGTGTGTCTATAACTTTCTCACTTATCATTATTCACTTATCATTAAAGGATTATCCGTAATCGTGGTAACATCCACATTCATGTAGAAGTGTTTAGAAACATATTCTATTTTTCTTTACAATAATGACAATAAAAGTGACTCCAAAATGACACAATACATTATTTACCATTCACTTCTATTGGGCACAAAATAATCTGAAACACAACCAAAGCAAACAGCAAATGCATCCAAAAAATGTGTAGAGTCATCATTCAAAATAACCCCAATAGATGATGTCTTGAGCACACTTGGATAAGTTCTAATACTGTACAGTAAGGTATCAAAGTGCTAACCTAGCACTTTTCACGTACAACATTTATTCAAATACAACATGTAACATAAACATGTGCCTATAGAGTCACAACATATTCTATATGACATGATAATCACCTCTATGATAATGTGATTGATACTTCAACAATTCAATCATTTTGACTGTATATAGCAATTGAGTAAAATATGAATGACTTTATTTTTGGTAAATTATTATCATGATTTTTTCCATTTTAATTTGTATCAATAAAGATATTTCTAATTATTACATTGAAATTGATTGATTGTCTGTATTCATTTCAATTGTTTTCAAAACTGAAATAAAGAACCTCTCAGATGTTGATCAGGGCACGTATCCTAAAAGCATCTCAGAGTAGGAGTACTGACCTAGGACCAGCTTCCCCCTTTAGATCATAATTATATAGACGGGGGACCTGATTCTAGATCAGCACTCCTACTCTGAGACGCTTTATGAATACGGGCCCAGAATTGTCACAGTTGATCTCTGCAGTGAAACACCTGTATTTCTAGTAATACAACAAAGTCAAGATGAAATGGAGTGTAAACACACAAACACTATTTACACCACATTAGTGTTGTTAGCATTAGCGTTTAATATATCATCCCAACTTGTTGACGATAAAACAAGGCAGGATGGAAAACCGAACTGACCCTGTCCTACTTGGCACTTGTGTAAATCTGAAGGGATTGAAAAGATGAAAGCAATATGTTGAAACTCCCACCTAGCCAATCATACAGCAAGGTGGAAGTACAGCATGTTTTTACATATCAAATCCTTTCATATCTACATGAAGTGCCCTGGCCCTAGAGGTTGTGGCCAGGGGTCAATTTGGGATTGGGCATTACATTAGTTTGATTAAGTGGATGGGGGAGTTACAGTTTTCCGTTCAGGACTAGACGAGGATGGGAATCAGGACCAGATTCCTGAGCGTTCCCGTTTGCGTCGTACAATGGCTGCCACATCCTGTTTGAGAGAGGAGACACTCTGCTCCAGCAGCTCTGAGAAATCACGCAGCAGACCACCCTGCTCATCCACAAACAGCCTGAGACCCAAGAGATCTGACTCCTCCTGGAACACACACACACACACACACACAGAAACACACACATACACACACACACACAAACCTTAGATCAGTCAGTCAATAAGTAGGCAGGTAGATTGATTGATTGATTGATACATACACTAGGCCTGTGCCTGCGCAGGCGCTGCAGTTGAACCCTGACAGAGGTCATGCTGTGGTAGAAGACCTTCAGGGCGCGGGCGAACTCTGCATCACAGCTGGGCCTCAGACTGCTGCCTTGCCTCTCTGACCGACCACGACCACACTCTGCTCCTACACAGAGGAGGGGAGAGAGTGAGTGGTGTGTGTGTGTGTGTTTGTTTGTGAGAGAGTGAGAGAGAGAACTTGACAGTTCAGTTGTTTAGTGTGTGTGTGCTTGCTTGCGCGTGTGTGTGTGTGTCTGTCTGACCGGTCCTAGCTGTATTGAGCTGATCCCTCAGTGTGTTGTTCTCTGTCTTCAGTGCAGCGTTAGTGTTCCTCAGTTCCTCCACATCCTGCTGTAGGGCCCTCAGAGAGCAGCTCAGCTCTGAGCCAGGGTCCACGGTCTGCAACACACACACACACATTATAGTGGATGCACATACTATTTAACCCTTTGAGGTCTCATGTAAATCTATAAGCCTGTCCTACAAATATGACAAATTCTAAATCTCTGAGTCTAGTACAGATGTCTGATGTAGACTCACAGTAGCTGTGTCAGGTGGTCCAGCCTGGTCGATGATGAAGCATCCCTCTGGAGTCATCCTCACTCCCTCCAAAGATGACACCAGGTCTCTACATCCCTCTGGACAGGAAAGTATCAAGCGTTACCCCGGTGTACATGCATGTGTAGCAGATGGGGATCTGTGAAACTCACTCCTCAGCCTGAAGTATCTCCACTTGCGCTGCGGAATAGCTAGCTTTTCGGTGGCGTGACTGGGTAAGACGCTTCAGGAGGGCAGTCAAGTGTAATTGCGAGGCAGAGGTCCTGCGTTCAATCCTCGGTATGAGCCGAATCAGGAGGAAGGGGTACTCGCTAAGCAAGCAGCATGACATCCTTTACACATGCATACAGTATGAATACAGTACGAGTTCCAAGCAGGCAAGTCCCAGGCTTACCCTTACTATCCTGGGCCCAGGTTTGTAGGCGAGTCCCAGGCTTACCCTTACTGGGCCCAGGTTTGTAAGCAAGTCCCAGGTTTACCGTTACTATCCTGGGCACAGGTTTGTAGGCGAGTCCCACGCTTACTTACCCTGTAGGCCCCAGAGCTCCAGCACCAGGGCGCTGGTCTGCAGGTGTTCCAGCAGGCCCTGGGAGGTGTGCAGAGAGGTGAAGTGGACCCGCTGGTCCAGCAGGGGGTTGACATTGTGCCACACGGCCGGAGTGTAGAGGGGCTGGGCACTGTCGAACATCCTGAACCTGGCAGGGGAAACGTGACGTCAGTCAGCCCCATAGAGATAGAGTGAGCAGAACACTGGCTGGAGACGTTTTGATTGGTTGGTCATAATGGCATTAGAGGAGGGCAGGTCTGTGAACTTCAGATCGTGGGGTGGGGGTGGGAGGCTCCAGCCGTATAGGCCAATGTACTCCTCACCTGATCTGCAGCCCTCCACCCTGATCACCCCACTCACTGGTCTCCTTTACTACTTAATTCATTTAATTTTCATTTAACCTTCATTTATCTAGGCAAGTCAATTAAGAACCAATACTTATAAATACTAAAGAACAAATACTACCCCCAAACCTCTAGCCCACACCTTTAGCCCACTCACCCTATCTGAACTCCCCTGTTCCTGGCCTGTTTGACCCAGCGCAGGCCACAGCACTGATCCAGGACCAGCTGGAAGTCCAGCCGTCTCCCCAGTAGCTCAGAGGGGTCGATCAGGATGTCATCCTCCCCCAGAGTCCTGGACACAGGAGGGCCAGGGGCCGTATGTATCAAACCTCTCAGAGTGCTGTTTTAGGATCAGTTTTGCCTTTTAGATCACAATGAATAACATTACATGGACAGGGACCTGATCCTGGATCAGCACTCTGAGACGTTTGATACATATGGCCACTGGCTACATAAAGTATCTAACACCCCTGATTCAAATAGCCAACCATTCATGTTCTTCTTCATGTTATTTTAAACTGCAATTATTTAAATCTGGGTTGTGTTCAGGAGGGCACACCGTAGCAAAATAAAAATGAAGATCTGTGTTCTAATTGGACAAGTTCAGTTTCAAAACGTTTTCTCCGTCCGTACTGAACACAACCCGGTAAAGTGTCTGCCTCCCATTCTTCTGTAATGTAATGTTACCCACAGTCCTGTGGGGCTGCATGGGAGAAGCTGGGCCTGCAGTATAGCCTCCTCAGTGCCCTCTGACCCCAATACCTGGAAACACAGAGAAGGATGAGATAGAACAACACACACACACACACACACACACACACACACACACACACACACACACACACACAGTCAACCCAGCAGCACAGTACCTCCAGCTGTTCCTCCAGTGCAATACGGAAAGCCAGAGACTGCAGCCAGAGGTGGGCGCTGCCCAGGAGCAGGGGCTCCAGCGGATCCCAAAAAGGGTCTCTGTCTCTGGGCATGGGCGCCCTGGCCGCCCCCTCTCTCTTCTGCTCCATATGGTGCTGCTGATACAGCTCCTCCATCAGGAACTTACGGTTCACAAACTTGGCCTTGGACCAGAGCCACACCTGTGGGGAGAGGACAACACACTCACCTGAGTTACACACACACCTGACACTGAACTCAGCAGTATGAAGATATACATACAGTGCATTCGGAAAGTATTCAGACCTCTTCCCCTTTTCCACATTTTGTTACATTGCAGCCTTATTCTAAAATTGCTTGATTAACAATTTTTGCTCCAGAGTGCTCAGGACCTCAGACTGGGGTGAAGGTTCACCTTCCAACAGGACAACGACCCTAAGCACACAGCCAAGACAATGCAGGAGTGGCTTCGGGACAAGTCTCTGAATGTCCTTGAGTGGGCCAGCCAGTGCCCGGACTTGAACCCGATCGAACATCTCTGGTGAGACCTGAAAATAGCTGTGCAGCAACGCTCCCCATCCAACCTGACATAGCTTGAGAGGATCTGCAGAGAAGAATGGGAGAAACTCCCCAAATACAGGTATGCCAAGCTTGTAGAATCATACCCAAGAAGACTCGAGGCTGTAATTGCTGCCAAAGGTGCATCAACAAAGTACTGAGTAAAGGGTCTGAATACTTATGGAAATGTGATATTTCAGTTTTTAAAAAATTATAAATTTGCAAACATTTCTAAAAACCTGTTTTGGCTTTATCACTATGGGGTATTGTGTGTAGATTGATGAGGAAAAAAATACAATTTAATCCATTTTAGAATAAGGCTGTAACATAACATAATGTGGAAAAAGTCAAGGGGTCTGAATACTTTCCGAAGGCACTGTATCCTACATACACTATATTCACAGATTATAATCAAATATGGCTTTGGAAGAAAACCACAAGTGGATCTTGCAGTAATTTAGGGCTTGATAGTGTTCACAGCTAAATGGGTTAAGTTATGTTCCATGTAGAGATATTAGAGTCATCTAGTATGACAATATTCAGGAGGCATGATTGACAGCGTGGTCTCCCCACCTGTTTGTTTTCCAGTGATGTCACTCTGACAGTGATGTCCTTCTCCAAGTCATGACCTTTAGAGTCTGATAACGCCAGGTTCTTAATCTCCAGCTTAAACTCCACCCCCTGGACACATAATTAGATGACATCATTCATGTAATGGTTTAGCGTTACCCAGATTACATCCAGTAGTCAATACAAACTGAAATCCAGGGCATAACACTAAGAAACTTAGAAATGTAGTCAAAATACCATTAAATGTCATTTTTCTCACAAACACAAGGTACTTTGGTTTTAGGGATGTTGAGAATGATGGGGACGTAATGATCATTATGCTTTTAGGGGAGGTTATGATCTAATGATGTAAATCTCAGGATGAAATTGCCGCATTAACATGTAAATCATGCCTGATGGGGAAATCTAAAACAGAATGTAGGTTAAACCCATCAAGATTAAAGTGATACTTCAAGATTCCCTTTATCTACTTCCCCAGAGTCAGATGAACTCACGGATACCATTTTTATGTCTCTGCATCCAGTATGAAGGAAGTTAGAGGTAGTTTCACGAGCCAATACTAACTAGCGTTAGCACAATGACTGGAAGTCTTTGGTATTTACTAGCATGCTTAGCAGTTACCATAGACTTGGTAACTGCGCTAGTTAGCAAGTGCGCTAACGCTAGTTAGCAACTTCCTTCAAACTGCATGCAGAGATATAAAAATGGTATCCACAAGTTCATCTGACTCTGAAGAAGTAGATGAAGGGCTTCATTGCCCAAATCCTGAAGTATCCCTTTAAAGGGATACCTTGTGTAGCTCCTGGCTCATCTGGTTGGCCTCAGCCACCATGGGCATCAGTTTGATGTAGTCATAGAACACAGCCAGGAGACTAGGGTCAGTCTGACTGGGGACTGCACTGGAGTCACCTACAGGGGGAGACAGAGGAGATACACACCTCATCAACTTCTCTGTGTGAGACACTACATTTTTACATTTACATTTTAGTCATTTAGCAGACGCTCTTATCCAGAGCGACTTACAGGAGCAATTAGGGTTAAGTGCCTTGCTCAAGGGCACATCGACAGATTTTTCACCTAGTCGGCTCGGGGATTAGAACCAGCGACCTTTCGGTTACTGGCACAACGCTCTTAACCACTAAGCTACCTGCCACCCCACACTAATACCTGTAGGTAGTCTCTTTCCCTCTCGCACACAGTAGCTCTCTCTCTAGGAGACTGATACTTCTCCCCCCGTATCTCTCTGCCACTCTCTTACACACGCTTTTGCTCTCTAAAACGGATTCTCTCTCTTTTTACCTGTGTCACATACATGCACACCCACACACACACTCCCTCCCTCTCTCTCTTTCTCTCTCTCTCACTCTGTCTCTCTCATCCTCTCTCTCTCTCTCCCTCCCTCCATCTTCATCTCTCCTACCCTGTGTCTGCTCCTCACACAGTGAGTGGAGGTGAATGCCCTCAGCGGCTGCCAGTTCAGACTGGAAGTAGTCGTAGTCGTAGCGACTCCAGTCGTCCCCGCCCCTCTCAGACGGGTAGCCAATGAACAGGTAGGTGCTGTTAGAACCCAGGATGAGTCGGTCCTAGAGGCGAGGGGGCAGAGGACGGGTTGATATGAGGGTAGGAGTCAAGGACTAAAACCATTGTCCACTTCCGAGGGCATAGTGCATAGGATAGGGGCAGTGGGGGTCATCACAATCTGGTCATGCTAGAGAGGATGGGAGACTAACTATGGTGATTATTATTAGCCATTAATGTTATTTTAACCCCTAACCTTTACCCTTACCCCTAACCCTTATCACTGACCTTAAGCCCATATGAAGAACTCATGCTCATGTTCTTGCTCATCAGTTTTGACCATGTTGCGACTTCTATCTGAACTACGCTGGAATAAAGCGACTGTCCTATAGTTCCATAGAGGGGCCTGTTTCAAAATGGCCGCAATAGTTTGTTTCCATGGAGACGCACCAGGTGCTGCAGCTCGGTCTTCTGGGAGATGGGTGTTCCGTTGACAATGACCTTTGACCCGGCCAGTGGGGTCAGGTACACCCTTCGCTGGACGTTAATGAACACAGCATGACGCTCCTGGATCCTGAGGTGGTGAAAAGATTTATTAGAGACCTTCTTTATTTTCTTTTTTTAAAACTATTTATAAAATGTATGTACCAATTCCAGAATGCCCCCTTTATTGATGTCATAAATGAAACAAACAAAGCAGCACCTGTCTGAAACGCAGTCTGCATTTATTCAGGTTTTGTACTTGATTTAAAAAAAGTGTGATGAATTCAAAGCCAATTTGCACATTTTCAAAATCCTATTTTTTTGTGTCATACTCACCCTAGGCCCCTGACTGAGATAGACCTGGGTGAAGAGTCAGAGAGCCCTATATCCCACTCACCTATAAAACACACATATACACACAATTCCCAAGGTCTTGATTGAGTGTGTGTATGGTAATTTGATCGTAGAGCTGTAGTCTGGGGCAGAGGAGACACTCACCCTCCTGGATGAAGAGCTTGACCACCCCTGACAGCTGAGTATCCTCGTTGATGTTCAGGATGTACGGATGCATCTGCATCATCCTCCGCTCCTGAGAGAGAGAGAGAGAGAGAGAGAGAGAGAGAGAGAGAGAGAGAGAGAGAGAGGAGAGAGAGAGAGGAGAGAGAGAGAGAGAGAGAGAGGAGGAGTGAGGAAGGGGGAGATATGAGGGGCGTGCGTGCGTGCGTGCGTGCGTACCTGTGTGATAGTAGCGTACTGCTGCTCCCAGTCCTTCAAGGCCTCCTGTAGATGTTGTTCCCAGAGTGTCTGGATGGCTCTGATCTGCAGCTCGTTATGGGTCAACAGCCGACGCAGTTCCTCTGGACACAGCAACAGCAACATAAATACAGCTACATATTAGTATACTAACATTGTTGCCCACTTTCTCTTCCCTCTACCCTCACTCCTCCTGCTATCCCTCCAAGTCCCTACTATGCTGCCCTCGACATCTCTCCCCCCTATCTCCATCTCCAGCCTACTGGTTTCGTCCTCTGCCCTGCGTCCCTCCTGTCCCAGACGGCTGAGTCTCTGCAGCAACCTGGCGTTCTCCGCCTTCAGCTCCTTCACCAGGCGCTCCGTGGGACTCTCGTTCACCACCGCACGGTTCTGGATACGCTTCGCCCTGGAGGGGGGGGGGGGGGGGGGGGCCAGAGGAGTAGAAAGCGGTGGGTTACGTGGGTAGTAAGGGGGAGAGGGGGTGAGTGGGAGGTGAGCGAGATGTGGATGTGGGAGAGAGGTGAGGGAGAGACACATAAAGTATATTGAATCATCAGATAACCAAAGTTGGACAGCTTCTAACAAAGAAGGAATGCTGGGCCTACTGTACCTTTCAGCATAGCGCAGGGTTGAGATAGACTCTTCATAGCAGATATCAGCCGGACTCAGAGCTGCAATCTGAGCATTCTGGGATTTAGTTATGACAGGCAGGGCTAATGGTAAGAGAGTTCAAGACCAACTCACTTTTTGTGAGTTTACCCACCATAATATTACCACATTTTTGCCAAAACTGTGGGATAAAAAAAAAAGCTAATCATATGATATGAATCAAATCTTTATATTTTATTAGAGGTGCATGGTACACTCTTAGAAAAAAAGGGTTCCAAATGGGTTCTTCGACTGTCCCCATAGGAGAACCCTTTTTGATTCCAGGTAGAACCCAAAAGGGGTTTAACCTGTAACCAAAAGGGTTCTACTTGGAACCAATAAGGGTTCTCCAAAGGGCTATCCTATGGGGACAGCTGAAGAACCCGTTTAGGTTCTAGATAGCACCTTTTTTTCTAAGAGATTAGACAAAGGGTTACCATGACAGTACGGCTGTTCCCCCCCAGGGCAGACTGCAGCAGCTTGGTGAGGACAGAGTCTCTGTATGGGATATGGACTACTTTCTTCCCTACCGCTACATCAGCCAGGGCACTGCAGAGAGAGGAGGAGGAAGAAGGAGAGGAGGGGAGAGAAGAGGAAGAAGAGAGTATCAAATAGGAATACAAAAAGCAGAGCTGGCGAAAATATAATCGGACAGAAAAAATATGAATATAGAAAGGGCCGCTTAGTTTTTGGTGACATGTTGGTGTGGAGGGCAGATCTCTCCCAGACCTGATGACGTTGCCCAGGGTGGTGAGGCTGAGGTTGATGGCTGTGCCCTCTTTGAGCCGGTCGGCCTCGGAGCCTGACACCCGCTGTCTCTCGCTGCCTGCCAGGTCCACCAGGTTGATGTTAGACTGCTTGGTGATGCTCTCCTTAGAGAAGATCTGCAGGGGGACAGGAGAGGGTCAGAGATACAATAAGAACACCAAGGGCCATATCTAACACCCAAATCAACCCCTTTCGCCCCTACCCCCCTTGCCACCTGTGTACATCTGAAACACAGGAGGTTGGTGGCACCTTAATTTGGGAGGATGGGCTCGTTGTAATGGCTAGAGCGGAATGAGTGGAATGATGCCATTCCATTTGCTCTGTTCCAGACATTATTATGAGCTGTCCTCCCCTCAGCAGCCTCCACTGATATGAAAGGATTGGACAGATGTACACATGATGTATATTTAGCATATCTGATTCAGCTAGTTAAGGTCTTGTTGAGAAGCTAATAAGTAGAATCAGGTGTGTTAAATTAGGGTTGGACTGAAAACCCACAGGACGGTAGATCTCCAGGAAGAGGGTTGGGCAGCCCTGGATTAGGGGTTGACTGGGAAATGTGACTCACCTGTTTGAGCTGGAAGATGATGAGCATGTGTGAGCGGCTGCTGTTGGCGTTCATGTGTGTGGTGGCCGTGGTGCGTATCCTCGTCCCCTGCTCCATCAGCTGCTCCACCTACCAAATATGTAGGAATAAATCAACTAGCTTTTTTGAGGGGAAAAAATTATTTTTATTGATACATTTACAGTGAGCTCCAAAAGTATTGGGACAGTGACATTGAAATTATACAATGACTATGAGGTTAAAGTGCAGACTGTCAGCTTTAAGTTGAGGGTATTCTCATCCATATCGGGTGAACCGTTAAATTACAGCACTTTTTGTACCTAGTCCCCCATTTTACAGGACCAAAGGTTTTGGGACAAATTCACTTATATGTGTATTAAAGTAGTAAAAAGTTAAGTATTTGGTCCCATATTCCTAGCATGCAATGACTACATCAAGCTTGTGACTCTACAAATTTGTTGGATGCATTTGCTGTTTGTTTTGGTTGTAGTTCAGATCATTTTGTGCCCAATAGAAATGAATGGTAAATCATGTATTGTGTCTTTTTGGATTCACTTTTATTGTAAATAAGAATAGAATATGTTTCTAAACACTTCTACATTAATGTGAACGCTACCATGATTACGGATAATCCTGAATGAATCGTGAATAATGATGAGTGAAAAAGTTACAGACGCAGAAATATCATACCCCCAAGACATGCTATCCTCTCACCATTACAATAACAGGAGAGGTTAGCTTTTATAGGCGGGGTATGATATTTGTGCGTCTGTAACTTTCTTACTGAACTGTTGCACCTGTGGGGCGCTGTCACAGGGGACCCTGCGAAGCCCCTCCACATAGAAGCCTCTCTGCTGCTCCTCTCGGACACGCAGTCCCCCCGGAGACCGAGACCCCCGTGACAACAGGTCAACCACCTGGAGGGGGAGGGGGGCAGGGGCTTGGGGTCAAAAACTGGACAGGTCAACTGTGAACTGTACTGTATATGTCAAATACTCAGAGTTTTCAACAGGCATGACAGAGACATGCCCAGACTTACCTGTTCATTGTAGATTTCCAACATGCTGAAAAAGACCTTGGGGAACAGAGGAGCCCATTGAAAATTATTAAAATCGAACATTATTTCTGGCTGTGATATTTGCTTTTGTCTTCTTGTTTTGTTTTTGTAATTATCCTGTGTTGTGTTTGTCTATTGGTGCAGTATGTCTATATGTACTGTATGCTGTCCATTTTTTATGATTATTTGGAAAGATATGTTATTTTATTCAAAAAAATATATATATACATTACAGAAGTCACATTTCAGACCTACACACCTGGCACTGTCGGCTGTCCTGGTTGGCCCTGATGGCCTGAAACAGTCTGTCACAGAGGGTGGGCACCAGGCCCTTGTTGGGTCCGTACCCGACCATGGAGTAGCTCTTCCCTGAGCCAGTCTGCCCGTAGGCTAGCAGGGTGGCGTTATAACCTTGAAGGGCATTCTCCAGAATCCCCTCCCCCAGGTCCTGGAACACACTACCCTGAGGGGACAGACAGTGTTACTGCCCTGAGGGAGACAGACAGAGTTACTGCCCTGAGGGTGAATAGACAGAGTTACTGCCCTGCCCTCCTCAGAGTGTCATCCTCCGGGCTCCTCAGGTAGGTACAGACAAGAGAAGACTCTTCTCCTCTTCTCCCCCTCTCCACCTCCGCCCTCCTCACCTGGTCAGCGTATCGTCCTCCGGGCTCCTCAGGTACATACAGGCCAGAGCGGTCTCTGGTGAAGCCGCTGTGGGACCAGTAGGCGTAGTCAAAGCAGAAGGAGCGTGGGCTCTGGCTGTTACGAGGGTCCTGGATGGTGATGGTGCTGGAGGCCATAGAGATTATGCAGTGGCTGCCCGCGTCCCTCTCTCTCTGGGGACGGGAGAGACGGGGGAGGGGACACACCAGTGCAGCAGGTATAGTATTGGTGGAGGACCACATAGTACACAAAACACAGTGCAGATTGGCATAATAGCATGACATAATCTGATGATGGATCATGTCCTTGAAAAATTAGTAGGAGAGAAATACTAAACCCAACAACAACTAAAAACATCCCAGATCTGTCCACAACTGACCTTGTTGAAGGGTCTGACGCGTACGGCCACTTTGACACAGTCCTTCCCCGGCATCTCTGCTCCTTTAGCCCTCATGATCCTCCCTGCTTCTGTAAGGGAAAGGCTGGGTGACACCCTTCACCCACTGACAGCAGCACCAGGGATGCATCTCAATAGTCTAGAGCAGCTTCCTCGTCCTTGTCTTCTCTCCTCCATCTGCACTGATGTTTAGGATAAGAACCAGACAGGTGAAATAGATATCCTGAAAGACATCATCCATGTTGCTTTCATCAAGTCTGTATTTTCAGATGAAGGAGCGGAGACGGGGAGAGGAGACCACTTCAGACTATTGAGATGCAGCGCAGGGGAGTAGCTAAGTAACCTGAGTAGCCAGGTGATCACTTTCACTCTGCATCTCCCTTTATGAATTATACACAGACCCAGTGCCTTTTATAAAGGAAATCTACACACAGCCTTTTATGAAGGCAACAGACACACAGCCTTTTATAAAGGAAGATTACAGACACACACACAGAAACCTTTATAAAGGAAGATTACAAACACACACAGTTGACTTTTGTCATCATATGAGCCAATATTAACGCTCCCCCGCCCCCTCATCAGTGGAGGCTGCTGAGGGGAGGACGGCTCATAATAATGTCTGGAACGGAGTTAATGGAATGGCATCAAACACATTGAAACCATGTGTTTGATGTATTTGATACCATTCCATCGATTCCTCTCCAGCCATTACCATGAGCCCGTTCTCCCCAATTAAGGTGCCACCAACTTCCTGTGCCCCTCATAGTAGCCATCAGTCCTATACTGCCATGGCATAATTCTATTAAACAAAGCATCTCAGAAAAGGTCCTAGGAATCCTGTTCAAACCTGTTTTAACCTCTTAAGGATCAGACCCTTCTTTTCAATTTCTGCCTAAAATGACATACCCAAATCTAACTGCCTCAGGACCTGAAGCAAGGATATGCATATTCTTGGTACTATTTGAAAGGAAACACTTTGAAGTTTGTGGAAATTAATGTAGGAGAACATAACACAATAGATCTGGTAAAAGATAAAACAAAACAAAAAAAACATACGTGTTCTGTTTTTATGTTTGTTGCATCATGTTTGACATGAAAACGAAAAGCCATACATTCAGATAGGAATCCAGAGGGAAACAGTGTATGTGCAAAGTTTCAGACTGATACCTTCAAGAATGAGGGAGCTACATAACATTTAGTATGAAGTCACCCAGGTGTCCCTCACGAGTTTGCCCAAATATACCCAAATGGCCTCCAAGTGGCCGAATTGGTAAATTGATACAACTATAGAGAACATACAAAAATGCTATGGTAATAAAAAATACAAGTTTACACACTCCCAGGAATGTCATACATGATGGATCATTAGCTTCCCTACATAAAAGGTACTAACAGGAGACGCGACGAGAATGCTGATCCAATGCCTCCCAACACATAAGTGAACTATTTAAAACTCCCAGCTCAGAGTAGGTTTTAGGATGATGTTAAGACATTGCCCAGACAAGATCTAAGCCAGGAGTATAATCAATTCATAAAAGTTTATCTTTGCTGATAATCATGACAGTTTGAGGTACCGCAAAGGATTGATAGTGATGACGCTCATGGACATTGTTGCAAATGATGGGGAATAACCAATCGCGATGAGGCATCGCCAGCTGTGAACTCTATAGGCAACACGCTTCAGACAACCATGGTGAATGTGACTGTACGTAAATCAAATGTTGCAATGGTAAAAAGTTTGATATCATTTTCACCTGGCACGATCAATTTGCCTACTCTTAATTACTGCCTAATATGTTGGTATTGTGGTGGAAATTCAACACCAGGGACACTTGCAGTCATTCTTATATGAATCACTCTTTATTTGTCAGCTAGCTGGAGAGGTTCCATTAAACTTAATGCACCATAGTGAATGTCTGTCAGAAGCTCCGCTGGGGCAGTCTCAGCAGTTGCCTTATATAAGGCTATACACAGAAAAGTTATACAGTGGGGAAAAAAGTATTTAGTCAGCCACCAATTGTGCAAGTTCTCCCACTTAAAAAGATGAGAGAGGCCTGTAATTTTCATCATAGGTACACGTCAACTATGACAGACAAAATGAGAAAAAAAATCCAGAAAATCACATTGTAGGATTTTTAATGAATTTATTTGCAAATTATGGTGGAAAATAAGTATTTGGTCAATAACAAAAGTTTCTCAATACTTTGTTATATACCCTTTGTTGGCAATGACACAGGTCAAACGTTTTCTGTAAGTCTTCACAAGGTTTTCACACACTGTTGCTGGTATTTTGGCCCATTCCTCCATGCAGATCTCCTTTAGAGCAGTGATGTTTTGGGCCTGTCGCTGGGCAACACAGACTTTCAACTCCCTCCAAAGATTTTCTATGGGGTTGAGATCTGGAGACTGGCTAGGCCACTCCAGGACCTTGAAATGCTTCTTACGAAGCCACTCCTTCGTTGCCCGGGCGGTGTGTTTGGGATCATTGTCATGCTGAAAGACCCAGCCACGTTTCATCTTCAATGCCCTTGCTGATGGAAGGAGGTTTTCACTCAAAATCTCACGATACATGGCCCCATTCATTCTTTCCTTTACACGGATCAGTCGTCCTGGTCCCTTTGCAGAAAAAACAGCCCCAAAGCATGATGTTTCCACCCCCATGCTTCACAGTAGGTATGGTGTTATTTGGATGCAACTCAGCATTCTTTGTCCTCCAAACACGACGAGTTGAGTTTTTACCTAAAAGTTATATTTTGGTTTCATCTGACCATATGACATTCTCCCAATCCTCTTCTGGATCATCCAAATGCACTCTAGCAAACTTCAGACGGGCCTGGACATGTACTGGCTTAAGCAGGGGGACACGTCTGGCACTGCAGGATTTGAGTCCCTGGCAGCGTAGTGTGTTACTGATGGTAGGCTTTGTTACTTTGGTCCCAGCTCTCTGCAGGTCATTCACTAGGTCCCCCCGTGTGGTTCTGGGATTTTTGCTCACCGTTCTTGTGATCATTTTGACCCCACGGGGTGAGATCTTGCGTGGAGCCCCAGATCGAGGGAGATTATCAGTGGTCTTGTATGTCTTCCATTTCCTAATAATTGCTCCCACAGTTGATTTCTTCAAACCAAGCTGCTTACCTATTGCAGATTAAGTCTTCCCAGCCTGGTGCAGGTCTACAATTTTGTTTCTGGTGTCCTTTGACAGCTCTTTTGTCTTGGCCATAGTGGAGTTTGGAGTGTGACTGTTTGAGGTTGTGGACAGGTGTCTTTTATACTGATAACAAGTTCAAACAGGTGCCATTAATACAGGTAACGAGTGGAGGATAGAGGAGCCTCTTAAAGAAGAAGTTACAGGTCTGTGAGAGCCAGAAATCTTGCCTGTTTGTAGGTGACCAAATACTTATTTTCCACCATAATTTGCAAATAAATTCATTAAAAATCCTACAATGTGATTTTCTGGAGAAAAAAAATCTCAATTTGTCTGTCATAGTTGACGTGTACCTATGATGAAAATTACAGGCCTCTCTCATCTTTTTAAGTGGGGGAACTTGCACAATTGGTGGCTGACTAAATACTTTTTTCCCCCACTGTATTTGCATGATTTAGCATAATTAATTCATCATTACCGGTGGCTCGCACATATGACTGACCAATACCTCACGAGGCTCTCTCTCTCTCCAAGTTGAGACCTTGAAACTGAAATACCTTGGTTGTTCCCATAGCAATATTCTGGGCGTACTGCCAAGTTGAGGATCAGTGATAGTGAGGATTCCTCCATACACGATCAGTCAGTCACCTGCATGAACCCATCTAATTGGTTACAAGAAGTAGCATTGATTTTGATACACAAACATACAATTTCCCTTACATTCCCTCATCTTGTCACTGTGATAATTATCGTACAATTTTAATGTAAGCATTAGATTATAGCGTCTATGAAAATATTTATATTAAAGTAAGTGAAATCAACACATAAAACCAGACACTTCATCCTTTCAAACCCTTCAATCTGGGTTTTACAATCTAAAATACACACATATACACAAGGGGTGTGTGGACTCAGAGGTGACTAAATCTCTCAATCTTTAACCATTGTTTACATAGTTCTTACCGCAATCGGGTTGCAGTGACATCTGTTCTGAACCAACTGTCCGCGAGACTAGTCAAAAAATTAAACAAATCTGCTTGGGCCTTCTAAACTAGTCAAACAAAAACAACCTTCAATTCTCACTCATTGTCCTTATCTACAGGGGGAAAAGGAAGCTCATCCAGTGTGGGCAACTTATCAGTCTCACCATCCTCTTGAGGAGCATTAAACATAATGGCTGCCGAAACTTTCCCAGCTAGGGAGGCACAAATAGCCTTACAACATGTTAGTAGTACAATTAAACAGACTAAGCAAAAAACACATGCTGCAGCCCATTGGGCAATCTGGGATCCCCAACTTCCAAACAGATATTTCAACCAAGTTGCAAGCGTCCACATGGGCTGTGGGGAATTGTTCTTAGCCACACTGGCAATGTATTCGGCAAGATCGGTAAGATTATAGCACCGATCTGGGACAAATTATTGCACAAGTGCCCCCTTTACCTGACAAAATATGCTCAAGAGCCTCTCTGTTTTTCATTTAACTGTTCCAGGGCATTTCGAGTAGCATTGCCAATTTCCTCTACGTGTTTAGAGATATCACAAATGTGATCTAGGGCACATGCATCTCCATACCCTGGAAGAAACACACCAAAGAACCTGGAGGTAGGTGCCCGGATGTGAGTGATTGTCACGACTTCAGCCGAGGCTGCCCCCCCTCCTGGTTCGGGCAGGCTTCGGCGTTCATCGTCACCGGAGTACTAGCTACTGCCGATCCCATTCTCATCACTCCACTTGTCATGTCTTGTCAATCACACACACATGGTGCTCATTCCCCTAATTAGTATGTGTATAAGTGTTCCCTCTGTTCCCCTTGTCTTTGTGAGTGATTGTTTGTTGTGAGAGCGTGTAGCTCAGTTGAGCTACTATACTTCGTGTTTATGCCAAGGTGGATGTTTTCCCTTTTCATTTTGACGCTTGGAGCGTTGGATTATGTAAACGGAATAAACTCTGGACTTCGTTATTTTACCTCCTGCGCCTGACTCCTTCCTTCACACCTCGTCACAGTGATGTCTGCAGAGAACTCTTATCTCTCCTCATTCCAGAAGGTTTGTAGTTTCTAAACAGAGCCTTCAGACTCTTAGTATTGTTTGGAACGGTTCTCATAGCTGTCACCACAAACCAAACAGTACAACTACCTCCTCAGTTCAGGGGCAGGCTATAGTAAGCCATTTTTCCACACAACCAATGGGTGCCATTTGGGGCTCCTCCCAAAGGGATAAGAACATTATAGACTGAAATACCATAAGTAACATTACCAGGTTCCCCAGTGTCGGCATTGTTAACAGTTAACTTACAGGTATTGGACCCGTTGTAATACATTGTACAATTACATTCTAGTTCACCCAAATGATTACTTCCTAATACACCAAGGGGCTGTCATCACTCCTGTTACTGAGATGGGTGGGAGTAAAGTATTATCTGGCCTAGCAAACGACGGTGGGCCTATGTGGTTGTATAATGCAGAAAAACGTCATGGGGTCAGGGTTACGTGGCATCTCTACTAGGAATGGTAAGTCCATTTGTATAGTCAGATTTAGCCCTTTGGGAACTCCCACAAGTGGTAAACCTGCTCCTACCTTAACTGGTTCAACCCACACAACCAACACTCCTTTTGTCCAGATGTAAGATTAGCAACCATTTCTGTTCTAGAGAGGAACAGATTGTCCTCATGGTTATGAGGGCCCAGCAGGAATCTCCTTCTCCGATGATCATCTACTTCTGGGCCACTACTCCGAACCGGCGTTGGCCCCTTTGGTTCGGGACTTATCTCACCCTCTGTCAGGTTTCCAACAAGAGGACAACCTACTGTTCTTATTAGTACTCCTGTGCTAATGCAGAGGAGGGTCACACTGCACCACCGGAACTGGCGAGGCCCCATCTTCTCCTGGATCAGGAACTCATCTGCAGTGCGACACGTGGATCCAGGTATCTCTCTCAGCAACCTTCACCGAAGTGGGGGTGGTCAGAAGAATTTGGTACAGCCCTCTCCAATGGGGGTCCTTCCAACTCTTGCTCCTGAAGTCTTTGACCACCATGAAATCACCTGGGCTCAAACAGTGCTCAGCTCCACCTGCCAAGTTCGGCAAAGACTCCTTCACTCAAGGAAAGAGAGTCTTAAGAACACTGTTAAGGTTGACACAATACTCAACCATGTCTTCCTCCATTCCTTGCAGGGACAACCTGTTCTGGGCGAAGGGTGTATTCATCTTTCGCATGGGACGGCCAGTCAGCACCTCGTGTGGAGAGAGACCAGTGACTGTATGGGATCTGCCTCTCATACTCATCAGTGCCAATGGAAGCACGTTCACCCATGTCAGGCTTGTTTCACCAATCAATTTGACTCATTTAATTTTCTCTCTTTTATCGCCCCCCCCCCCCCCCCCCCCCCCCAGTTTGAGGATGATAGGCACAATGTGTTCTCAAATCAATCTGCAAAGCCTCTGACAGGGACTGGACAATCTCATTCACAAAATGTTGACCATTGTCGGAAGAGATTTTTGATGGCAGACCCCACCTGGGTATGATCTCTCTCTCACGAGTGCTTTCGCCACAGCAACCGCTGTGGCTCTCCTGCAAGGGAAAGCTTCAATCCATTTAGAAAACATGTCAACAATCACCAAACAATACTCTTTCCCCTCCCAAGGGGTCAACTCAATGAAGTCCATCATTAAGTGCTCAAAAGGTCCTTCAGGCCTTGGATGGGACGCAGGGGATACTGAAATGCCGCGTCCATTATTATTAGTCATGCAAATCAAACATTTCTTGCAGACATTTTCTGCAAACACAGTAAAACCTACTGTACACCAAGATTCATTTACAAGATCCACCATCCCTCCTCTTGACCAAGTACAACGGAGCATGGCTAGTCTGCTCCACTCATCCAGCCATACACCCAAGGCGTCTTTACGACAGCACCCAGCCCACTTCTGTCTCTCTGACTCATCAGTCGTTGCCTGCAAAGCAACAACGTCATCAACAGAGAAAGGGTTGGTGGGAGCTGGAACTGCTACCATCTGTAGGAGTGGGGAAACAGAAGAGGAAGCAGTCAATTTAGCTGCATGGTCAGCTTTATCGTTCCCCAGAGAAATGTTGTCGTTAGAGGAAGAATGTGCTTGACACTTGATTATAGAAACAGAGGAGGGTAGCTGGACAGCCTGTAAGAGAGACGAAACAAGGTTACTGTGTGCAATCTGTTTTCCAGATGAGGTCAAAAAACCTCTATTCTTCCACAATGTTCCAAAATCATATCTGCTATCAGTGTAAATGTTAACAGAGCTGTCGTTCCCAAAATACAAGCTCTAGTCAGGCCAAAAAGTTCTGCCACCTGGGCTGATATGTGTGAAGGGAGTCGAGCACTCTCCACAGTATCCAAAACAGCCACAACAGCATAACCAACTAATTGATCCCCTTTTTCATTTCTCTGGGCAGACCCAGCTACAAACATACAAACAACAGTCTGGATTGTCTGACGGGGTGTCTCTCAAGTCCAATCTAGGGCTACAGTCAATTTCGATAGCTACGTCACCCTCAAGCTTCTTTTTGGGGGATTTATTTTTATCCTTCTTATCTTTTCTGCTTTTTCCTTTGTTGCCGTCCTCACTGCTGCTCCTTTTATCTTCGTCTTGGCTACTTTCTTCTTCACTGATGTCATTCTTCCTGCTTGCACTCCTTAATTTGCCTCTTGTTTCTCTACTTTCTTATTTCTCTTACGTTTATCCAGTTATTTTCTGAGCTCTTCTAGCTCCTCTTCTTCACTCTCCCTCTTCTCTGTTCCTCTCTGCTCGTTCGCTCTGGTCCTTGTTTTTGCTGTTAGCCTTCTGTCTTCAGCTCCAGCACCTGCAGCTCCTCCAACAGCCCCTAATCCCACGGCTCCTCCACCTGGCACAGGCTCAACCCAAACTGGGTTAGGAGGGGGTGGGAGGCCACCATCTCCTTCTGCTGGTGGAGGATTTGGCAGTGGCGGATACAAGGGGGCTGCATGCAAGGGTTCCCCTCAGAGAAAGGCCAGCCAGCCAGGCTTCTTCTTTTTCTTTTTTTCATCTTCCTCTTTCTTCTCCGGTTCCACTTGCTTTACCATCAGTCCTCTTACAGCTTTATCTTTTGAATTTTCTGTTTCTCTCTCCCACTTTCTGAAATCGTCCCACTTCACTTTAACTTTCTTGTGTTTTCTTTCTTTACTTTCAAGTTGGTCTCTCACAGACTCCAGTCTTTCTGTGCTCAGTGTCCCATCAACAGGGAAATGTCCATCTGTCCATTTTGTCCAGTCTTCTGTTTGGTTCAGTACCCCCCTACCAATTGGTTTTGCCATTATACTACACAGCCCTTTTGGTTCCCAACACGGATCCTCCATCCTACTCTTACTATTTCCCTTTCCCATACTTAAACCCTTTGTTGAACTCTTTACAAAAAGACTTCCAGCTTAACACGTCATCCCACACTCACACAACTCTCACACCGAGGCTAAACCCCTGTTCAGTTAATTAGTCAAGCACACAATACTCTCATCCACATTCACTTAGTACTATACTATTCCCAAACACACTCAGTAATCTCCCTTATTACTCGTCGTTACCTCCTATGCATACATATGTATCTTCTGCGGTTCCTCTATAGTCTCCATAGTCGCCATAGTCTGTAGAGTATATATAGTCTCCTGTATCTATAGTCTCTCAGTGTCTATAGTCTCAGTAGTCTATGTAGTCCATAGTCTACAGTATCTATACTCTCTACAGTATCGATAGTCTCGCGTCTCTATAGTCTCTCAGTGTCTATAGTCTCAGTAGTTTATGTAGTCATAAATGCTATAGTCTCTATAGACTCTATAGTCTTGCCGCTTCCCATACATACAGAATAGCACGTTATGCTATTCTCAGTGATTCCCCGACCACATAGACACTTCTCATCAATGCCTAAAATAACACCTTGTGCTTTTATCAGTGGTTCTCAGACCACGTAGATACTTCTCATATAAATGCCTACAGACAATTGTCAGTGGGGCCTCTCCTGCCCTCACTCCAGCATTCTCCTAAGACTATGGACAATTGTCAGTGGGACCTCTCCTGCCCTCACTCTAGCCTTCTCCTAAGACTAGTTCTAGCCTTCTTCTAAGACTAGTGGTACCCTTCTTCTACATCTTTATGTTACATTTGATTGGTTTTATCATTTTTATTTAATTTTTATACAAATTAATTTAAATTTGACTTACTGATATTCAGTAGACGTGTCCCTCAGAGGTTCGCAGATCAGGTATCTTCCCCCGGGCAGCTCACAGTAAAAGTCTGGTCTGGGCAGGTCCACGTCGTCTTTGGTCAGATGGGAATTTCCCTTGCACGCCTTCACACGGAATGCGCCACATGTGTTCCCTCGCAGACCTTCACTGGGGATGCTCCACAGATAGAATCACAGATCGTGACGCCAGATTGTGGTGGAAATTCAACACCAGGGACACCTGCAGTCAATATTAAATCACAGGTTCCAACAAACATAATGCACCATAGTGAATGTCTGTTAGAAGCTCTGCTGGGGCAGTCTCAGCAGTTGCCTTATATATGGCTATACACAGAAAAGTTATATTTGCATTATTTAGCATAATTATTTCATAATTACCGGTGGCTCGCACGTGACTGACCAATACCTCAAGAGGCTCTCTCTCTCTCCAAGTTGAGACCATAGCAATATTCTGAGCGTACTGCCAAGTTGAGGATAAGTGATAGTGAGGATTCCTCCATGACATACACGATCAGTCAGTCACCTGCATGAACCCATCTAATTGGGTACAAGAAGTAGCATTGATTTTGATAAACAAACATACAATACTTTTTCTTTTTTACCAAAGTTTGGGAAACCCTGCCCTAGATGCCTTGAATTGCCCAATTTATAGGCATTCCCAATTTAGACATATTCTTTAACAACGTGATGTTATTCTCCAAATGGATAACATGAAATAACACGATGAAGGTAATTAAATAATCAAAAGAAAAACATTTATTAGCCTTGTGGTTATAAGTATTTAGGCATATAATTGTGAAATAGGCCTCATGTGAAATCATTGTCAAAAGCGCAAGAGATACTAATACATGTATGTCTAGATTATTAGTAAAAAGACAGGTACTGCTGATAATACTGCCATTGTCGCCAAGGCAGAGGACATGTGTACAGTACCAGTCAAAAGTTTGGACACACCTACTCATTCAAGGGTTTTTCTTTATTTTTACTATTTTCTACATTGTAGAATAATAGTGAAGACATCAAAACTATGAAATAACACATATGGAATCATGTAGTAACCAAGAAAGTGTTAAACAAATCAAACTATATATTTTAGATTCTTCAAAGTAGCCACCCTTTGCCTTAATGACAGCTTTGCACACTCTTGGCATTCTCTCAACCAGCTTCACCTGGAATGCTTTTCCAACAGTCTTGAAGGAGTTCCCACATATGCTGAGCACTTGTTGGCTGCTTTTCCTTCACTCTGCGGTCAAACTCATCCCAATCCATCTCAATTGGGTTGAGGTCGGGTGATTGTGGAGGCCAGGTCATCTGATGCAACACTCCATCACTCTCCTTGGTCAAATAGCCCTTACACAGCCTGGAGGTGTGTTTTGGGTCATTGTCCTGTTGAAAAACAAATGATACTCCCACTAAGCACAAACCAGATGGGATGGCGTATCGCTTCAGAATGCTGTGGTAGCCATAATGGTTAAGTGTGCCTTGAATTCTAAATAAATCACAGACAGTGTCATCAGCAAAGCACCCCCACACCATCACACCTCCTCCATGCTTCACAGTGGGAACCACACATGCAGAGATCATCCGTTCACCTACTCCGCGTCTCACAACGACACGGCGGTTGGAACCCAAAATCTCAAATTTGGACTCATCAGACCAAAGGACAGATTTCCACCGGTCTAATGTCCATTGCTCATGTTTCTTGGCCCAAGCAAGTCTCTTCTTCTTATTGGTGTCCTTTAGTAGTGGTTTCTTTCCATGAAGGCCTGATTCACTCAGTCTCCTCTGAACAGTTGATGTTGAGATGTGTCTGTTACTTGAACCCTGTGAAGCATTTATTTGGGCTGCAATCTGAGGTGCAGTTAACTCTAATGAGCGTATTCTCTGCAGCAGAGGTAACTCTGAGTCTTCTTTTCATAGTGCCTGATGGTTTTTGCAACTGCACTTGAAGAAACGTAAAGTTTGAAAAGTCCTTGAAATGTTCCGGATTGATTGACCTTCATGTCTTAAAGTAATGATGGACTGTCATTTCTCTTTGCTTATTTGAGCTGTTCTTGCCATAATATGGACTTGTTCTTTTACCAAATAGGGCTATCTTCTGTATACCACCCCTACCTTGTCACAACACAACTGATTGGCTCAAACTCATTAAGGAAAGAAATTCCACAAATTAACTTTTAACAAGGTGACTACCTCATGAAGCTGGTTGAGAGAATGCCAAGAGTGTGCAAAGCTGTCATCAAGGCAAAGGGTGGCTACTTTGAAGAACCTCAAATATTAAATATATTTTGATTTGTTTAACGCTATTTTGGTTACTACATGATTCCATATGTGTTATTTCTTAGTTTTGATGTCTTCACTATTATTCTACAATGTAGAAAATAGTAAAAAATAAAGAAAAACCCTTGAATGAGTAGGTGTGTCCAAACTTTTGACTGGCACTGTATGTGTAGCCCACGTATCTGATGCTGTCTGGACAAAAATAGTATGGAATGTCATACTCAGGCTACAAACAGTAAGACAGAGGGGCTGACATCATCATGTTTCACCCGCTCGGATGCTTTCTCCGGTGAGATAGTTTCAGCCTCTTACGAATTGAAGGAAAGTTGGCAGGTGCACAGTGCACTGTTCGGATGCTGGAATTATTTTGGATGAACGTGCGAAGGTAACCTACTTTTTGAAGTGACAATCAGATAAAAACATAATGACCGGTTGTGTTCATGGCACATTAAAAGGTAATACATTTTTACAGTTAAATTACATCTTAACTATAAAACCCATTTAAAAAATAGGAGGGGGGGGCGGGACCTCCAAATCCCTAATTCTGCCCCTGCTCATGAGGTCTCCTAAATATTTGTTAACTAGGTGGGAATCTTATGGCTAAAGAGGCTTTATGCATAGCTTTTATTTTGACCCATAAGATTAAGAGTAAATTGTCTCTATTCTCAGCATTTACGACCAATTTCCTACTCTGAGACACTTTGTGGATACAGTCCCAGGGCTCATGATTGGCCCCTTTGCTCTTATGTAAAACCTCTAGCTAGACCTGACACTGATCTTAATTGTTCATGAGTCCATAGCTAGGTCTCCATCCAATTGGTGACAGATTTTCATGCGAATATTCTAAAATCGGCATAATTTTTTTTGCATATTCCCACCAGAGATATTTCTATCAAATTGACTTGTTGCGGATAAAAGGCTGTACGTGATGACATAGTGCACATAAAAATACCTTTTGCTGTTAAATTCCCATGTACCGAATAAAAAATACAAGTTTAATGAGTTTATCACATTTTCAACTCTACTGATGGTTTTCTCACCCCCCCAAAAATTGCGTTATATAGAGAGTGTGCCCACTCGACAGATAGCAGATACAGTGTGGGTATACCCTACATGAGATTATGGACAAAAGAGCAAGATTTTTTTTCAAACGACAGCCAAGCATCGATGATGTCACCAGAATAAGAACCTCGACATTTATTGGAAAGGAGCATCAAGCTCATCACCTTTCACTTTTACCACCCTGTGAAGTTCATAATTTATTTAATTAGTGCCCTAATAAACTGCATGCTTTCATCGCGTGCGTGACTCAAAGTTTACTTTGATATGGTTATTCTATCAATATTTGCGCATAAAAGCACTTCCACCGACATTTCTCGCATAATACATTTTACCGACACAAAAAGATCCCACCCTGTCTAGTGTGTTTTGTTTTGTCCACATTTAGAAAGTTTACCGACAAATGTCTGTTTACATCAGGCCCGTCATGACATTTTTTAACCAACATGTACTTTACTCGCATAAAGGTTAGATGGAAACCTGGTTAGTGTGACAATTCAAATACTTGTGTCCCACTACTAAATGTACACAATCAAGGTTACTAGCCATCCAGGATCCAGTCTTAGTACATGCTGCTTAGTGGCTTACTGGCAATAGCAGAACATTGGACAGAGACAACAACTCCAGTCTTGAAGAACAACAAAAAACAAAAAAACGACTTCCCTAGTTGAAAACTGCCTATGTGTCATTGGTAAATCAGAAACATTTATTCTAGTCAAAATGTACTAAAGTGTAAATAGGATTAATTTTGGTCAAAGTCAGTCATCAAAAACGGAGATTTGCGAGATTATTACAAGAAAGAAAAGGTATGTCACGGAATGAAGGGTACATCAATTCTTTGGGTTGGGTTTATTTAAAATTCTGCCCACATACCCACAGCACCCAAGTAATCATTCATTCAGAGCGCTGCTGCATGCAACCCGATTGTAATGCTCAGCACACTGACCCTTTGGCGCTAGCTAGGGACCATCAGTAAATTACAGTGTACATGGGATACTATTTAAACATTTCAATAGCTCCAAATGTTTATGACAAAACCTCAAACAAACTATACATTGTAGAAATTCATATACAAATATTGAAAGCATTTAATGAGAACTAAAAAAGTGTGCAACATGAAAATATTGTCCCGTTTACATTGTGTAATATATTGACGTCCCCAACTAGCCCCACAGATAGGCTATCCAAAGTCAAACCATGGTTGCACACCGGCCTGCTGAAGCTAATTGACAAAAATAAATTGTCTAGCTTGCCAGCTAGCCTAAGCTACTTCAAGACCAGACCAGGTTGGACTGTTTAAAGTTATCTAGCAGGGTGAGTGACTAACTGTGTACTGTTTTGGCAGAGTGAATGTACAAATGCTTCCCACATGCGAACACCCACATCAAAGCACGCCTCAAAGACCCAAATCTTGTTCTCAGTTGCATTTCCTAATGAGGACGATTGAAACCGAGACTAAATCAGTAAGTTCAGCCACTTTTTAATGAAATAATTAAGCTTTACCATATTGTCAAAGTAATTGAAAATAAGACATTCTACATTCATCTGAAAATAGCATTTGGCTGGTCAAATGACCTTAAAACAAGCCAACAAGCCTCATCACCCCCAGTGGATTCACTGTGCAGGTTATGTACATGTTAGTGATACAGTACATTATAGGAAGATAACCCCAAACAATCCAAATTAGTGTGCATTGATCATTCGAAAAAAAGCAATGAACTTTACAAAATTGTCTTTTAAGGCTGACATTGGCAATATGATTATGAGACAAACATTGTTGAAAAGCTACAAGAGCCGGCCCTAGCCTTCTGGGGGCCCACCTCTTGACGGCAAAAAAATAAAAATAATAAAACGTTTTAGAGTCAACTTCCTGCAATTCTACACATTTTGCCCTGACTTATTTACATTAAAATGTTAGTCATTAGCAAACGCTCTTATGCCATATTAATTTAATATCTGAGTGAGAGTAACTAACCCCCAGTAAGTTGAGACCCTTATCAATAAAATTGGGGTCGGGGCCCCCTAGCGGTCTCTTAGTGGCTAGGGCCGGCTCTGCACTACAAATAAAATCAACAGATCATTCACAAGTATTCAACTTTATTCATAACATAGCAAAAGAGACCATTTACATAGCCATCAATTTATAGAAATGCACGAATTCTCCAGAAATAAAAACCAATCAGACTCTTTTTTGGTGTTCAAATACATGTCTTCCTCCCTGTAAACATGATAATAATTTATATAGAATTACTATATCAATCTCCAAAATTAAATCTGATTATTCATTTTATTAAAAATGTTCTCCACTTGTTTGTTTTTCTTCTTAAATATAAAACAGCAGGCTGCAAAAGTTCTTAAAAGAAAGAGGAGAATAAAATCACTTCCTCAGAGTAGAGTTAGTGCTTCCAGGAAGGATAAGAGTCCAGTCCACGGGTGCATCTCTATAGTCTAAAGTGGATTCCTCTCTGTCTCCTTTCCTTCATCTGCATTGATGTGTATTGGAAAGGAAATACCCAGTAGGCACCGTACTGCTTTCCCCTATCCTATTTTTCAGAGCAGTTCAGATGAAGGAAAGGAGACAAGAAGATGCACCCCCATTAGTTCTGTAAGATTCCAAGTTGACGCTGTAGTTTGTTCAGGGTGGAAATGGCATCCGATCATAGCTTCTTCCTGCGGGTGACGGGTTTGGGGAAGACGGCCTCCAGCACTCGTTTGCGGAGGTTCATCCGGGGGGCGTCGTTCTCCTCCACCACCCTCCTCCTCCTCGTGGCTCGCTCGGCCGGGCTGGGCATGGGAGAGATCAGATCCACCTTGGCTGGGGGAGGGGGCGCGGGGGCTGCTTTGGGCCTGAGGGTAAGTTAGGAAAAATAAGAGAGAAAAGGTCATCTCGTTGTGACTTTTGGAACAAACACAGCCGAGGGAGTGGGGTGGGAGCATTCACATTGCAGATGGTGTGTTATTCTGAGGACAGACAGGGGAAGAAATACACAAAACTGCTTTGAATAGAGAGAAAACAGAGGGCTGTATGTCAAGAGGACTTACTTGGTTGTGCGTCTCTTGGTTGTTCTGGTTTTAGCAGCAGCCGTCTCAATCTCCACATCGTCTCCTGATGAGTTCTTGTCCTGAGCAACAGGAAGATACACAGCAGACCAAGCTTGAATATGACTTGCAACAGCAACCTGACGTGTACCTAATGACCATGTCCCAGTTCCATTTCAACCCCTAGCGCCTTCCGTGTTCACAAATCTGAGAGAGCGGGATAGTTGAGCACAATATGGCAAAGGCACCACTAATTGTATTGGAGGGATAGCTGGAGCCATCATCATCACCATGGAGGCTATGGAGGAAAATGAAACGCGGCCAGTCCTGTGTCTTGTCTAACATTAGTCTCAGTCTAAAGGATGTTATCAACTGACCTCGTTAGCAGGGTGTGCTGCGCTGGCGTCCGGTCGCCTGGTACGAGTAACGGGTGGCGCAGACACGTCATTCTGACCGGGCGACGCTGCTCTCCTACCTGTCACAAACAAAAGGTCATGCAAAACGTAAGAGACAGCCAAAACATAAATATTCCTCTACAAAGTTTGACGTTGTGGTCTAGGCCCGGTAACTGTAAAGCGCTCTGTGACAACTGCTGATGTAAAAAGGGCTTTATAAAATACATTCGTTTGATTGATTGTGGTGAAAACGTGGAGCTCCTTACCTCTAGTTCTCCTTCGAGGTGGTGAGTAGATGAACGAGTCCCTGACAGGGCTTCCCTGGTCAGCCTCGGGCACCATCATCTCTCCCATCGGGGGTGGAGGGGGCCCCCGCTGACCCAGCGACTTGGTGCCTCTATTGGCTCGCACCATCTCTGTGATGACCAAGGTCTCGCCCACTTCCCGTTTGGCCTCCTCGTCGCGGAGTCTCTGGATGAGGGCATCGGCCACGGGCGTTCCGGAGTCCACCTCCAGCGGCGTCTCCAACAGAAGCAGGTCCTCCTCCTGGTGGTTCCACAGACTGCTCCTGGTTGGTCGACAGAACGACACAGGGGCGTCTTTCGTCTTCTCAGCGGTGCCTTCAACCCTCGTCTTCCTACGGCTGCGGGGAGGGGTCACGGTGAACACTTCCTCTTCCTGGGTGAAGAGGGCGAGGGTCACGCCCCTGCGGGTCGACTTGCGGGTCACCCTGCCTGGACTGCTGGGCTGCTTTTTGTTCTCTTGCTCCTCAGGGACCGCTGGCTGAGTCTGGGTGGCTGGGGTCTTGGTTCCAGTTCGGGTCTTCCTAACGCTGCGTGTAACAGATAGCGCTGACCCCTCGCTGGCGGTTTCATCCATGGCTGTTGGTTCCTCTTCGCTCCCCACCTGGGTGTTCCTGGTCCGCCGGGTTCCCATCCTCGGAGTGGCCTTCTGTGGGGTGCGGCGTTTGGCCGGGGTGGGCTTGGATTTGACCACAGCGGCGTCTGTGATGAGGACCGAGACCTGTTCCTCTCCTTTCCTCTCCTCCTCTCTCCGAGGCTGGGGTTCTGGTTCGGCTTTCCGGGCGCTCCGTCGAGGGGTGACGGGAACTCTGGAGTCCTGGCCGTGCCGGCCACTCCTGGTGATCCGCCTGGGTGTGGCCGGGACAGTCGGCCCCGCCAGCCTCTCAGTCGGCCCCGCCAGCCTCTCGTCATCCTCTGACCCAGGCCTCTCTGGCTCCACTGAGTTGAACTTCACCGTCTTCCTCTGCATGGTGGCCCTGCCCGTCGGGGTGGACGGGGCTTTCCTGACCTCCGATGTTTCAGACACAGACTCAGGCTGGATGTTGCGAGGCTTGACAGGCTCCCTCTCCTCCCCACTTGCAGTAGAGGGCTTTGCGGTTTGAGTGGTTTCTTCTTCAAATATGGCTTCCACCTCGCTTATGGCTTCTCCCTGGGCAGGTTCATGGTTTTCTGACTGAATGGGTCCGTTGCTTTCTACCTGAGGCAGAGGCTGGTCTGCAGGGACAGAGACGGGCTCCTCCATCTCTGCCTCAGCATCCAGCTCAACGACGTCGGCCTTCATCTCCTCCTCTTCTGTTCCCTCCCTCGCTCCGCTGGGCTGCTCGTTCTCATCCAGGACTGGTGAAGGCTCTTCTGCTTCAGCTGGTTCAGAGTCAGCAGGGATCTCATCTGGCTCTGGCTTTTCTACATGGTCTGTGTCAACATCTCCAGCTGATCTGGTTGGTTCAGTCCCGGTCAGTTCGTCTTCAGCCACCGCCTCTGAGGATTCAGGCAGGACGTCTGTGACTAGAGGAACATTCTCCTCCGACATGGCCTCAGTTCCACCAGTCTCTGCCTCCTTCCAGCTATTCATGATCGCCTCCATGTTGTCCATCTCAGCCCCCTGGTCCTCCTGGGGATCAGCCTCAGCCAGGGGGGTGTCCTGGTCGTCTGTGCCCAGGCAGATGACCTCCGGGTCGGCAGCAGGCTTGTCAGATGCTCCCTCTGCGGTCAGATGCTCAGTGGGTTCTAGTGGTACCTCCAATGGTACAGTGTCTGCATCCCCATCCTCAGCCTCCAGCAAAAGAGCGAAGCTGCTGTGGGCTTCAGAGGGGGGTACGTCCGGCTCACTGCCTTCTCCCACCTCGGTTAGCCCCAGGCGGACTCCGTCTGCTAGGGCCTGCCCCTGTTCCTCCAAAAGCTCCAGAGGAACCAGCAGGGTGGTGGAGGGCTTCAGCTCTGTGTAGCAGACCCCCACTCCCTCGTCTCCTCCTGCCCCCAGCCTGATCATCACCACCTCCCCGTCCATGTCATCCTCCAACATCTGTAGGGGAAACACACCGAGAGACACATGAGGACTTTGATAGAGCACAATCTAGATTAACAATCACAAAATGAGATGTTAAAAGTTGTACAACAGTCACCCACAGTATTTAGGTCTACACACTGCTTATATGCATGAGTTAGAATATCATATGACAGTCACTGCTTTACCTTTAGGTCTGCCTCTGGGGTGACCAATGAGAGCACGGCTGCGTCCTGCTCCGATAGGTCAGGCAGGAACTGGGGCTGTGGCTGTTGGGGCGGGAGCTGGTCCAGGAAGAGCGAGGGGGGCGGCAGGGGGGCTCGCTGCCTCCCGTTCCCCTGCACCTCCTCGATGATCTCCACCTCACTGCCCGAGTCCTCAGCAGGGGCGTCTGACTCCTCCTCTTCTTCATCCTCCGACACAGCACTAGAGAGTTCCTCACTGTCATTCAGGCTCACCACAGCTACAGGGAGGAGGGAAGAGATCCATCACAGAGTCACTGATACAGGACAACAGAAAGTAACAAGCTATTCTGAACATTCCACACCATTATTGGTCGTTATTGGCCCGAGAGGCGCCAACTCCACTGCCGCCAATCAGAACACATAATCCTTTGTGGTTGTAGCTTGTTCAGTTGGCCTGTGTTAGATCTCTGATCGCCTGACCTAGGGTCAAGGGGTAAAGGTCATGAGCAAGAGGTGAGAGGTCACTCACAGTCGGAGTCAGTGCTGGTGGGGTCTGACGAGGCTACGGACCCAACAGACTTCTGGGTGGTGAGGGCCGGGGGGCCGGCTATAGTGGCAGGCTCGTCCTCCTCTGCCACGTCACACTCCGGCTCACTGCACAGGGGAGAGTGGTTTAATATCAATGAATGGTTGTAAGACCATACACACCCAATGTTGTTGTTGGGATGTGTTTTTACCTGTTGAAGGAAGTCCAGTTGTCAGAAGTCTCGTGGATGCCCGAGTGGGTCAGGGGCGGAGACAGGTCGTTGCCAAACAGATGGCACTCCACAAACTCGTCCAGATCTACAAGGAGGGAGGGAGGGAGCGTGGGGGTGGGTCAACAAGGTCATCATCATTATGCATATGTTTAAAATCAACTGCATCAGGATCAGTCTTCCCTGTGAATAACTCATCTAAGCTTCATATCCGATGTTGTCAGGTATAGCTTTGTCAGCTTTTCCCACTGTGGTTATATCAGATTTCCCTGCAATGAGCTCCACTCACAGGCCCTCTACACATGATCAAAGTAAAAATCACTTCAAATGGCTTGTACAGTGTGGAAGCTCTAAACTGTGCAAGAAACCATTAACGTTTTTGATCGTCTTGGGTCATTTTAACCCATCCCTCCAATTGACAACCTCAACCTTGTGCTGAATGCACGCTCAATTTGGGTGTTCCCTTTGCCTCAGACTACTCCTGGGAGAAGAATTTGACACACTATATATTCACAGAGCTGAAACTAAGCAGGACATGAATGCAATGTTTTTAATTTGGCCACTGGAGTGGCTGTAAGATCTTCCTAAAGGGGGTGGAACCCTCACCTGTATGTTCCATTGCTTCTACGGATTCTGTGGCTTCCACTGATTCCATGGCTTCCACAGGTTCCAAAGGTTCAATTGGTGCAGTGGGTTGTGATTCATCCTCTTTAGGAGTCTCCTCCTCCACCACCACCACCACCTCTGGCAGCTCTGCAGTCTCCACCTCAGGCTCAGGGTTGGGCTTCTCATTCTGGCCAAGGTTAAGTTCCTCAACCACTTCCGTGTCAGGAGTCAGTTCTACTTCCTGTGTGAGCCTTGGTTCCGCTACAATTTCCTCATCCTGTTTAGCCTCAGGCTTTTCTTGTTTGGGGCTGACCTCCATCTCCTCTACTTCCTGGTCTGGCTCCTGATCTACAGCCACTTCCTCTTGGTTGTTGACTGCCTCTTCCTTTACTTCCTGGTCCTCTTCCTGCCCTTCCTCCACAGACAGGAAGAGAGTTGGCTCATTGGCTGCTGTAGGCTGCATTTCCTCCTGTGGGGGCTGGACTTCTGGTTCTGCTGGAGTTTTGAGGTTAACCACCACTTCCTCCTCATCTATGACCTCATTGGCTAGCTGTTTAAGCTCCTCTTCGTTCTCCAGGTCTTCAGGGAGAGGTGCATCATGGAACTCAAGGGTGGTGTCTGTTGATAGGACAGAGGCCTGGCTAGTTTCCAGACCCAGGCTGAGTCGTCCTGGCAACACGCCCGGCAACGTGGTTAATACAACGACCTCTTGGACAGAGGAGCCACTCTCAGACTCTCCATTCTCTGGTGAGGGCTCGCGGACCGGTGGTGGGAGGAACTTCACATGTGTCACTTTCACCTCCTCCTCCTCATCCTCCTCCAACTCTTCCTCATCATCATCATCATCATCATCAGCAGCAGCAGGGTGTGAGGTGCAGGCCGCCAGTCCAGCCTTGGGCAGTGGGGAGCCTCTGGTCAGCAGACTAATTTCATTCTCTGTTGAGATCTGTACAAAATAACAAAAATCATTAACACACAAGGGATAAGTATCTGAACGGTACATGTTTGTTTACAATAAGTAATCTCAAAATTCTACTGGTATGTTGCTAAATGAGGCCCAGCGGTCCAGGTGTCTTACCCCATTGCTCCAGCGGAGGGGGCCCCTCTCTGACATGGCCATCTCCTCGATGAAGGTGATGCGGCTCTCCTTGGGGCGCGGTGGGGGGGTGACAGAGCGCCCAAGGGAGGCAGTGGGGGTGGCCACGGGGGTGGGGCGCAAGCTGCTCCTCAGAATAGATTGGGGGGTGAAGGCCGAGAACACAGGGCCAGACGCCGCCAGCGCTCGCTACGGGAAGAGAACACAACCATGCAGACAGTCAGTGGGGTTCAAACACAAACAAATTATTTCAAATGGAGGAAACGTTACAATGGTATCCGACTGCAGCAGGCAGGCTCATGTCTCAGTCACAGTGGTATCCTAGACCATGTGACTTCTAGTTGGAGTTAATTTCCAACCAAGCTTGGAAATCCTATAAAACTAGGGGATGTCTGGTCACCACCGTGCCAGTGAGCGTCAACAGCGCCTTGGATGTGAGAGCCTGTGTGACAGTGGTGACAGTCGATGCCCTTCCCCTTGGTCGGTGTCTCACCTTGATCACCTGTGGGGTCTTCAGCAGACTAAGCTCGGGGGCCTTGTTGATGCTTTTGGGGGTGTTCCAGGAGGTGGCCACCCTGTGGGGCGTCAGCAGTGGTCGTGAGCCCTCTGGGGGGGTGGTCTGAGAGGAGGGGTGCACCACCATGTCCAGCAGCCTGGGGGCAGGAACAGGAGGGAAGGTTTGGAAAGCATGTCAGATTGTATCGAATCATCCCGTCACACCCCTTAATACAATAGAGTATCTTACATACAAGTACACACTTGAGAAACGTGTACATAACTAGAACTTCCACCAAAATCTCCCATTGACATCAACGTATAATGAATTTCAAGTTGGAGTTTGGCCCCGCGTGTCATACCTGGACTTCCTCTTGGAGGTCATGGTGATGGGTGTGCCCACGAAGGCCTCGGGCAGACCCCGGGAGGGGAACCGGGGGCTGGGGCACAGCACCTCTGCTGCACTGGGACTGGGTGGCATGGAGAGAGGACAACCATTCAACCAAACTGAACAGAGATACAAAAACCCAGTGGTGGAAAACCCATCTCTACCACTTACCATTCACATCTTAGTCAGAGCCAAACTAAAGGATAGGGGTGGGTTTGGGACAGGGCTGAGCGGTCTCACCTCTTGAGTGGGGAGGACTGGGGCGCGGGGTTCTCTCCCACCCACACCTCCTCGATCTTCAACAGGACGTTGTTGATGAACGCTGCTCTGGTCAGCACGTTCTCATTGGCCGACCGCTTGGCGATCGTCGACAGCGGCTGCGGTCGTGACACTGTAGGAAGAACCCACATCATTAAGGAAGTCAAGGGTCACGTTAAAAACATGCAACACATCGGCTGTATACAAAAGGAGTCAATGCATCCAAAACAGCGGCTGAAGGTCATAGTTTGTTCCACAGAATGGAATGCTTTGACACAAACACACTTGTTCCAATCCAATTCACTTGGTTGAATCCAAACAAAAGTATCATCAACATCCAATTCAAGTGTATTCTAGTCTGTTGACCACTGGAATGCTTTGACACAAACACTGGAATGCTTTGACACAAACACACTTGTTCCAATCCAATTCACTTGGTTGAATCCAAACAAAAGTATCATCAACATCCAATTCAAGTGTATTCTAGTCTGTTGACCACTGGAATGCTTTGACACAAACACTGGAATGCTTTGACACAAACACACTTGTTCCAATCCAATTCACTTGGTTGAATCCAAACAAAAGTATCATCAACATCCAATTCAAGTGTATTCTAGTCTGTTGACCAAATTCATTATACGTTGATGTCAACGAGAAGCTAGGAGGTGTGAGATCCCGTACCCTCTCTGAGGATGGTGGAGGGGTGGTGGTACGGCTTAGCTCTCTCAGTGGCCAGCTTCCTCTGGACCCGAGGGAGAACTTTCCCGTACTGGTCCAGGATAGAGTTCCTTGTGTGTGTTCTCTCCTTTAGCTTGGGATCCCTCTCATTCTGGAGAACCGATACATGAACGGAATGGAAAAATGTATGGAAATATACAGCATCACCACACTATAATGCAACCATCGTCTCAATACAACCGTAACCTGTTTGTGTTACTTTTTACTTACTTCTAACACTTGTATTGTTCTCATTCCAACTTTTTACTGCATTTCTCGTTGTATATTTGCTATGAGCATGATGAAGTGCATTAATTAATAAGAAGAGCTTTATTTGAAGGTTATTGAATGTAAATGTGTACGTACCACCATGTTCATCTTGAGGGTGTGGTTGAGCTGCAGGGCGGGGACGTAGTTAGCCTGCTGCAGGTAATGCACCATCAGAAGCTCTCTGTTGTGGAGACCCCCGGTACCCTGTAGGAACTTCTCCAAGCTCTCCTACACACACACACACACACACACACACACACACACACACACACAACATCTTCAAGGACGGGACAGGCACAACGTCTAAACACAATGACTGTCTTTTGTAATGATGAGCATGCAGCTAGCAACGCCAGGGTTCTGGGTTTGATTCACGCTGAGGCCACCAATACCAAAATGTGTGCACTCACTGCTATAAGTCACTTTGGATACAAGCGTTCGCTAAATGGTATAATATATTTAGGAAATATATAATGAACAAAAATATAAATGTAAAGTGTTGGATCCATGTTTCATGAGCTGAAATAAAAGATCCCAGAAATGTTCCATATGCTACAAAAAGCTTATTTCTCTCAAATTTCGTTCACATCCCTGTTAGTGAGCATTTCTTCTTTGCCAAGATAAACCATCCACCTGACAGGTGTGGCATATCAAGAAGCTGATTAAACAGCATGCTCATTACACAGGTGCACCTTGTGCTGGGGACAAAAAAAGGCCACTAAAATGTGCAGTTTTGTCACACATCACAATGCCAAAGATGTCTCAAGTTTTTAGGGAGCGTGCAATTGGCATGCTGACTGAAGGAATGTCCACCAGAGCTGTTGCCAGAGAACTGAATGTTCACTTCTCTACCATAAGCCGCATCCAACGTTTTAGAGAATTTGGCATTACGCCCAACCGGCCTCACAACAGCAGACCACATGTATGGCGTCGTGTGGGCGAGCGGTTTGCTGATGTCAACGTTGTGAACAGAGTGCCCCATGGTGGAGGTGGGGTTATGGTATGGGCAGACATAAGCTACGGAAAATGAACATAATTGCATTTTAAATCGATGAATGCACAAAGATACCGTGAGGAGATCCTGAGGCCCATTGTCGTGCCATTCATCCGCCGTCATCACCTCATGTTTCAGCATGATAATACACAGCCCCATGTCGCAAGGATCTGTACACAATTCCTGGAAGCTGAAAATGTCCCACTTCTTCCATGGCCTGCATACTCACCAGACATGTCACCCATTGATCATGTTTGGGATGCTCTGGATCGACGTGTATGACAACGTGTTCCAGTTCCCGCCAATATTTACATTTACATCATTTAGCAGAAGCTCTTATCCAGAGCGACTTACAAAATATCCAGCAACTTCGTACAACCATTGAAAAGGAGTGGAACAACATTCCACAGGCCACAATCAACAGCCTGATCAACTCTATGCTGCATGCGGCAAATGGTGGACACACCAGATACTAACTGGTTTTCTGATCCACGCCCCTACTTTATTTTTTTTAAAAGGTATCTGTGACCAACATATTCCCATCTGTATTCCCAGTCATGTGAAATCCAGATTAGGGCCTAATTTATTTATTTCAATTGACTGATTACCTTATATGAACTGTAACAGTAAAATATTTGAAATTGTTGCGTTTATATGTTTGTTCTGTATAATTTCTAAATGCCCAGGTCCTCATTTGTTTGCTGCCTGCCTGAAAGAATTTGGCTTCAACTGGTTTCAGTCTCCCTGTCAGAAAGGAAACCTGGGGGAACATGGCATCGTACCTGCTCAGCGAGGCCCAGGGGCAGTTTGAGCAGCTCCTTCATGAGACCCAGCTCCTGACAGGTCTCGTAGAGGAACCGTAACAACTCCTCCGCGTTCAGCCGGTTGGAGTGCTGCCTCAGCATGGCCCATGCCTCCACCAGACACCTACACACATGAAGGGGAGGAGAGAGATTACACACAGACACACGTTTATGTTATCCAAACTCACAATGCAGTCACTGTTAGCAAGGATGCCAGGAAACACACGCACACACCCACCTGTTGTGTAGCAACACGGAGAGGCAGAGTTGGGCCTGAGCGGTGGAGGAGAGAGGGGGCTTCATGACGTGGAGGTAGCGCAGGGCGATTCCGTGTTGCCCCTGGCACATTAGAGCCTGCAGGACGCGGCTGTGCTGCCAGCCCCACAGGGACGGGGAGGTGGCCGGGTGCAGCAGCAGCTCCAGGGAGTTCTGGAAGGGTCAAAGGGAAGAGGTCAATTGGAGGACACCGTTTTAGCACTACCAATATCTACCAATGAATCATTCTATAAAATATAACAGTATACACTAAGTGCACAAAACATTAAGAACACCTGCTTTCTCATTGACATGCTGACCAGGTTAAAGCTATGATCCCTTATTTATCTCACTTATTAAATCCACTTCAGATCAGTGCAGATGAAGGGGAGGAGACAGGTTAAAGAAGGATTTTTAAGCCTTGAGACAATTGAGACATTGATTGTGTATGTGTGCCATTCAGAGGATGAATAGGCAAGACAAAATATTTAAGTGCCTTTGAACGGGGTATGGTAGCAGGTGCCAGGCACACCGGTTTGTTTTAAGAACTGCAACGCTGCTGGGTTTTTCCCGCCCAACAGTTTCCCGTGTGTATCAAGAATGGTCCGACACCCAAAGGACATCCAGCCAACTTGACAACTGTGGGAAGCATTGGAGTCAACATAAACCAGCCTCCCTGTGGAACGCTTTCGACATCTTGCTCCGACGAATTGAGGCTGTTTTGAGGGCAAACGGGGAAGGGGAGGGTTCAACTCAATATTAGGAAGGTGTTCCTAATGTTTGATATACTCTGTGTACATTACAAATTCCACATGGGAGTGTATGACAATGCTCATCAATTGTTGCGTGTGTGTGTGTGTACCTGGTGGTCGTGGTGGTCCAGCAGCCAGAGGCCCTGCACCAGCTTGACCAGGCCGATGGGGATGGCGAAGGCGGTGGGGAAGGACTCCACAGACGCCCCGCTCTTGTTGGGGAAGGAGTACATGACATCCAACAGCAGGTAGATCACCTGGGGGTGGGGTTAAGGCTCACACACAGAATGGGGGGTGCGGTCTCACTATACTGTGGTGTGCATGTGTGGTGAACCCAGGTGAGTCCAGGTGCTAGAGTGTGGGTTAGGAGTGTAAGGAGGGGACTCGGCAAATCAAATCAAACCAACTCCCTGATATGAATATGTGGCAAAGTAAGATGGACGGTGGGAAACCGAGTAGAAAAGGATACGATGGCGTGCTTAGCAGATTCATCAATGTTTTCCAGGAGGTAAATATCCAGCAGGCCCTGTGGACGGCAGAGAGCAGATAAACATCAACAAAACCTATGTTTGTTTCTACATCTGAATGTAATTCCATGACATCAGTCGAAGCGTCGGCTCAAGGTGGGACTGTGATCATTATTTGGCTGTGTGCGAGTGAGTGCGTATGCAAAGGTACCAAATGCTTACGTGTAGCGTAGGGGGCGGATACTTTCCCGTCCCACCCTCGTCCCGTTTCCACAGGTCAACCAAATGATCCCCGCATTGGGCGACCAAGCCGTCAATCATCAGGCAATCTGCACACCACTTCCCCCTGAGAAGAAGACGCAGATGGTTAATTCTGAATATTATTTTCCAAAACAGTCCAATTTGCAGTAGTGCTCCTTTATGGTGCATAACCCTAAGAACACCAAGAACATTGACACTAATATCACAGACAAAATTATCTTCATATCAAATATACTGTATATAATATAACAAAATAACTTTTAAGTTAAACTTTTCCAGTCTTGTGTCGAGGTGTTTTCCTGTCAGTCCTGAACCAGCTCTTGCAGGTAAACGGCCTGATGTGAACAGCACTCACTTGGAGAGCTGCTGCAGCTCCTCTCTGCGGATGCCGTAGTAGTTCTGGATAACAGAGTAGCTGTAGAACGGCCTGGAGATCTGCACAGCGTCCTCATCTGGTTGGAGGACAGGGGAGGGCAATTACACGTCTGTTCCCAGTGGACATCTCTAGGGCTGCGTCCGAAATGGTGCCCTATTTCCTATGAAGGGCACTACTTTTGGTGTACATAATGAAAGTGGTCTGAAGACTACAGTCTCCAAAAGGTTCCCTGGAATATGGTCTGACCTCAACACGACAGATGTTTGAATTGCTACAGCACACGGTCTTACCGGAGCCCTCGGGCAGGAGTCCGGTCCGACAGAACCAGAGGACCACCTGGGCGTACTGGGAGATGAGGCTGGACACCAGGTTCTTATTGATGAGTCCCAGCAAACCTGTATACAGAAAATCCCTATGAAGCCAAACTGAAACCTCATGACATGGTATGCCCCAGTCTCTCCCTCTCAAAAGGTTTGATGCCCCCGCCCAGCTTCCCATTGAAACAAACGGGCCCCCTACAACAGTGCCCCTCGGGCTTTACCTCTCTGAGTGAGTTCCTGTGCCTCGCTCAGCAGACAGTGGAAGATGGTGCTGAGGTTCCCCAGTAGTCTCTGGCTGTGCTGCAGCAGCTGAAGGGTCTGGGGGTCCGTGAAGTTAGACGAGCTGTCAAACAGGGGAGCACCTGGGGAGAGACACGCACAGTTAGGAAAGATGGAAGTCAGAAAACACATCCCAAATCTGATTGCGCCAAGAAAATATTGGAAATCCATAAATGTTTCTGGAATTCATAAAAAATGGTCTAAAACAGAGCTACAAGTTGCTACAGTTACCAAGATAATACGTAGCCGCGAGTATTATATAATCTATGTAAACCAGTTCAACAAGAGCGGCGTTGACAGCCAGTGTCATACTAATCACTGTAGTAGAAGAAAACTCACATATGCCGTCCAGCTCTTCCTTGGTGTGAACCACCTTGTCCCAGGCCCACTCCAGAATGTAGCGCAGGTTCACCGCAGAGCCTGGTTGCTCTGTTAAAGCCAACAACACCATGTTACTTTAGAGAAATCCATTCTAGGGGTGCATCTCAATAACCTAAACTGGCTCCCTCTCCTCCATCTGCACGGATGTGAGTGAACTGGGCTTGGCGAGCAAATTCTGGGCCAGCTTCCACCATTATTGTTTTCACCTGTCCTGTTTTTTCTGATCAGTGTATATGTACTAGAGGAGATGAGGAAAGGAGGCCACCGTTAAGTATTGAGACGCAGCCAGGGTTGATCTAACTAACAGGGTGTCAGTGTGAGTGTTGTGGTGTCTCACCCTCAGCGGTCCACTGTTTGATACAGCCAGTGATCAGGCCCAGGGAGCTAGTCTCTACTGCCGTGGACAAGATGGCGTCCAACTGCTCCTCCTGAGCAGAGAGAGGGAGAGTGTTTGGCCCATTTACAAAATGCCTTCACCACAGAGCTTTATCCATGAACACGTAGTGCATCCACACGGAATTAAATAGTTCCTAAACGTTTAGACGCTAGAAAGCTGGTAGAGCAAAAAGGAGCGACCTGTGTGTGTGTGTACCTGAGAGAGGGTGGAGGGCTGCACGTCAGCCAGGCGAGAGGAGAGCAGGCCAGACATCAGGCAGCGGGAGTAGCTGTTTGAGATTACGTCACTGGAGCAGGGAACAGCCTTCTTCAGGAAGCTCAGAGTCTGAGATGGGAATCACATTAACTGTCTTTTGCTAAGATAAAATTATACTGTATGGACTATGACGACAATAAGATTTATAGCCAATTTATTGTGACACACGATTAACATGAATTGTACCTGACAACTAGGGTTAACTCACCTCTTTCTGATACCCAGAGCAAGTTAGGTGCACGAGGCCAGTGTTGAGCAAACATGTTGCATCTGTTTCAAGGAGAAATACAAATTAGCATCATGTCATCAAGACATTTACAAAACTGACCTCAATGGCTCCAAAGAGCTACATATATTTCCAATTACTCAGTGCAACAAATGTCTCTGAACATAGTCCTCTTCTCAACTTAAGCAATGTCCTTTATAAAAGGTTTTACTGTGGGGGTGCTGTGTCTAAAGCAGGGGTCGGCAACAGGTTCATTAGCGAGGGATTTTCGTTTTTGGTCAAAAAAGACTGTTCCCACAAATAAAAATGTAATCAAGGTATGAAATTATATATATTTTTAAATACAATCTCTTTTGGGGATTAGTTGTGGTCAATTTGTAGTGTACACATTATTATAATGATATTCCGGCCCCCCGATCATCCGCTCCGACAAGCTTCGGCCCTGAATCTAGTTGCCTACCCCTTGTCTAAAAGGCTCTTGCAGTGTGTATGTCTGTGTATTTATGTTTGTGTGTGTGTGTGTGTGTGTGTGTATATAACTTGCCGAAGTTGTATGTAGTGGGTTTGAAGAACTGTTCTGGCGGGGGGCAGGTGTAGGGCAGGCCACGGCTCAGGCTGCGCTCATGCACCAGGACGTCCAGCAGGGGGCAGGGCGAAGTCATCTCCACCACCGTGTCCAGAGACCACACGGCCAGGTAGGGACAGCTGCGCAGAGACTCCCCCGTTCTGATACACACACACACACACACACACACACACACACACACACACACACACACACACACAAACACAAACACATATCAACCATTGCTGATTTGCAAATAATTTCCCATCGACATCCCAATAACAACGTAGACTTGTTTGTAAAAATCTCGACAAAATGTGTAAAAACATATGCAGAAAGCTATCTGATAGATAAATGCCTGGTATTATGGGCAGTTGAGCACACCATGTAATTTGAGGCGGCAACCGTGGTCACTTTTACATGTGGACTGTTGATGGGATATTTAGATGTCCGAATCCTACCTCAGAGAGTCGGGCATCTGTGCGTGGTACCATCGGTTGATGTCAAAAACACCGATGTAGGTGGAGGGGTTGCCCTGTCCGTAGGCCTTCACCTGCCAGCTGAAGATGGACACGCTGGTGTCTGGAGACGCAACTAACGAAGGAGAGAGAAGGAAGCCTTAGGACCAGCAGACCACAATGAAAGAGCAAGAACCACATTCATCCCTTTTCCCTCAGGGTCAGATTCATTAGTGCACACCGTAGAAAATTGTTTCGCAATGGACAGGTTCAGGTCTGCGTTTCAGTCCGTTTTCTTCCATTTGGTATCTAGTAAGTCAATACCACACAGGTAGGTTATTGAGAAATGCTATTTTTTTAGCATTTCTGGTGACTTAGACACCAATCTAATCCTAAGCAGAGGAGTTGGGATGAGTTGAGATAAAATGAAGGCAGGGTTACCTTCATTCATGCTTTCGTCTCTGTCTGGGTGGTTTCGGAACTTCTCGATGGTCTGGCAGCTGAGCAGGCGGGTGTTGGTGGCCTGAGCCCGCTGAGGGAAGGCTGTGCTGCTCAGCTCCTGACTGTACCTCTCTTCACAGTACTCCAGACCCTAGGAGGAGGGAGGAAATATGAATACAGCGCTAATGGAAAGTTAAAAGGTCTCAAAGCAGTGAAAGCGCTACATTTAAGTTGTCCACGTTAGAAATAAGTCTGGTTGTGATTGGGAATAACAGATGACTAAATGAAATCTTCAGGACTGAGAAAGCTCCAGAGAGACTTTGAAACCATCAAGCTTTTGGGCTTTAAAAGCAAGATAGCGGTCGAAACACTTGACCCAAAACATTCGGTTGACAGCCCGTACTGAGTCTTTCCCAAACAAAGGGGGCATTGAACAGAAGTTCGACCCAGCGCGATCCATGGCTGGACGCGGGAATAGCTACTTATTTTATTTCTAAATAATAAGATCCTTGAGGTGAACAATTCTGTATCTATTGGGGGCTCGAAAGAGACCAGAACAGATGGGCCATATACCAATTACACAGAATAGATCAAGACAATAAGACTGAGTTTACACAGGTAGCCCAATTCTGATATTTTGCCCGTAATTGGGCAAAAGAACAAAATTGAGCTGCTTGTGTAAACTCAGCCTAAGGAGGTAGCTAAGTGAAACCTAGAAGGTGGTTGATATTACGGTTACCTCATAGAAGATCTTTCCTGAGGCCAGACACTTCCTCTCACTGAAGGCTAGCTGGAGCAAGTGGAGGCTGACCACATCCCCCTCACTAGAGAGACACACAAAATGCCAAAAATAAAACTATTAGAGAGTTTAATTTCCCCAAATTTGAAACCCTTATTCAAGATTTCAAAGACCTCTCTGATGAGAATAGGCTACCCGTCCTGTTGGGGGAGGACGCATAGTGCTGTGGGTTGGCAGCGCACTACATTGCTGCCTGCCATAAAATGAGGGACCTTTATTTAACTAGGCAAGTCAGTTAAGAACAAATTCTTATTTACAATGACGGCCTACACCGGCCAAACCCGGACGACGCTGGGCCAATTGTGCGCCGCCCTATGGGACTCATAATCACGGCCGGTTGTGATACAGCCTGGAATCGAACCAGGGGGTCTGTAGTGATGCCTCAAGCACTGAGATGCAGTGCCTTAGACCGCTGCGCCACTCGGGAGCCATTGTTATTGTTCAATGTATGGTTATTTTGACCCTTGATTATTGTTGTTACTGTTGTCCCGTTGACAATATTGATTATTATTATTTTATTTGTTAATATTGTAAATCTCCAAAGTACGCTTTGGCAATATGTACATTGTTACGTAATGCCAATAAAGCAAATTTAATTGAGAGAGAGAAAGAGAGAAGGGAGAGATAGAGAAGTGTATTAAAGGGCAGTAAATACACCAAGAGGTGGTTAATACTGCATTGGTAAAAATGCAAAAACAATCCTGAGTTCAACAGTGTGCTGTGACCGCTGAGTACCACGGCTGCATTTCCTGGACAGAGGCTACATTTGCATACAAGCTGTGAAATGGAACTTCCGCCATACTGCTTTCGCTGATCTTGTCCTCTCAAATATGTGAACACCAAAGGGGTATGGAGCTGAGGGGAAGGGGTTGGGAACCCGCATGGAGCTGAAACCAGTTCCATTGTGCCGGGCAAGTTAAAATAAGCACACCTCACAAGTTTTTGAAATACTGTATGAGTAATTTAATACACATGTAATATAATAGTGTAGGTCTGGTGTGTGCAGTGCACACTACAACCCCTTCCAAGAGGCCTTGAGCTTTGTGGCCCAGGCAGGCAGACCGGCAGGTGGGGAGGGGAGGAGAACTTACAGGTCCTGGGCAGACTGGACAGCCCACAGGTAGCAGCAGTTGCGAGGGTCGTTCTCTGGCTCCTGGAAGGTGAAGGCGTACACTGGCACCCTGCCGCCCTCCAGCTGGGAGTGATACCTGGGGGAGAACACAGCAGAGGAGGCCGTCAGACCAACCTACACAGCTACATCTGAGGATTTCCCTTCGTGTCATCCCTGGGTCGTCAACTCACTCCTTCTTGAGCGTCTTCATGTTCCAGAGCTGCAGGTATCCATCGGAGAAACCCACGGCCAGCTGGTTGGTGCGGGGGATGTACTGCAGGGCTGTGGCCCCCGTGCCTGTGGGGCTGCTCAGCTGCAGACAGAGGTGTCTCCCCTGGCGCGTCTCCTGCTCGCGCAGCCGGGGGATCTCAGCCGGGGACTTACACACTACCTCCAGGTCTGGAGAAGACGGAGGAGGGTGGTGGTTAGAGAGGAAGAACAAACAAAGACAGATTGAACAACGTCTCACAATCTTGAGAGGGACTGCTGGCGAGTACAGTTCAGGCTATGTAAAGTTAAGCACACACACAGTTAAATATACAAAGGCTGACCTGAGGCCTCCAGCTCGCTCTGGCTGCAGGACAGGTCATCCAGACATAGGTCCACCAGGAGGACGTGTCCCAGGTCCGTGACTACTGCTGCCACGCCAAAGAACCAGCGCAGGCTTTGGTGGAGGTGCTGTGTGCTGGCACTGGCCCCGCCATAACTCACCAGGGGCTCGATGGCTGTGATCTGCCAATCAACACATTATCTGTTAGTCAGTCGACGTCACAATCAAATCAACCGGTTGATGCAAGTGAAAGGAGTGGAGGGTGAGCGAGAAAATGAAAGAGGGAGAGACGGGAAGATGAGACAGAGAGCACTCACCCTGCCCGGTACGACCACGGCCTTGACCACTCGGGAGATGCCCAGGTCGTAGAGACACAGCATGCTACCCTGGGCCTCCTCCAGACCCACCAGCAGCCCCGTCCTCTTCAGCCAGGAGAAATCCCTGGCCGTCAGCACACCTGGGGGGTGCTCCCCCTCACCGCTAAAGCAGTAGGCAGACAGACGCTCGCCCGTCACCGCGTGGACCACCTCCAGCTGAGGCCCACATGCCAGCCAGGCCAGCCCGCTGCGACCTGCGCCCAGGGAGAGAGGCACGTCAGTGTGGTAGGGAGGAAGCAGACAGGCTAGGCCTACTGGTTCACAATAGTTCATTGTAGAACCCCTCCATTTATAACACAATACTGCATGCTTGGTTTCATTTTTGTTATATTAAGACTGAAGAACGCAGGAATGCAAAGCATCCCTCCTGCAAATAACTAATCCTAGAAGATATGGACAGATGGCTATAGAAACCCTAACTCTTTTTGGTTGTTTATGTCTGAGGTGATGTTTGGGAACTGCGGGAACAGACGCTGTAGGTCTAATTCGTGGCTGTGCCATAATGCCATCCCCTCCAGCATGGTCAGATAGTGAGTGATGGCCGCCGTGCAGACACACGTTCACTTACCGACGGTGAACTTCCCGTGCAGCACAGAGTCCAGGGTGATCTCATCCTCCCCCAGAGCGTCTACAGTCACCCCCGGGAAACGCAGCAGGCTGCTGGTGACCTGGGCAGCCAGGTCACGCATGTTCACTCACTGCACACAAAACATGACAGTAAATGTTAGTAACTTCCATTAGACACGCATGTTCATAGCACACAAAACAGGACATTAACACAGCATTAACTAAACAAACAAACCATAAACGATTCTTAGAGAGCACTTTGTATAGTCCAAACTTTGTGGATGTGGCACATATGGGTGTCAAAACCTACAGGGTTCTCTTGTTGCTTTCTACAGTAGAACCGCGCTCCATGGCTTAGCAACTAAACTCAATTCAGACAATAAGAGTGAAAACTGTTTCTCTGTAAGCTTACACCAGGTTTTTTCTTTGGGGCTATTTGAGGGGACTATGGGGGGGGGGACAAGAGAGGTCTTTCTGCTGAGCTATGGTCCCCAGTTGTCAGACGTTTGGGCTCTGGGTCTGCTGGAATAACAGCTGCAGCTAGCACGGGTGTCTGTGTGCATGTGCTTGTCTTGGTGCTGAGTAACATGTTGACAGATGTGAATCTAGTAGGCCATCGCCATCCAGTATCATGTATAAGTACCCACTTCATTCCCCATGAGAGAAAGTCTTATCTTGTGGACCTCTTAGAGAGCCTTGTATAGATGTACATTCAAGGGTAACTATTCAACACTTGTCAGACAGAGCAAGTACAACTTTCTGTGCCACTGTAGTGCAAAGTTTGACCATAATCTATTGAAGTATGAGTTTGGCCTAGAGCAAAACAACAATGTCAACTTCCTTCACCAAATAATTACTTAAACTAGCCTCGGAATTTCATAACATGCCATGTGTCATGCATAGGTCAATGCACCATCATTGCAAATACCACTAGGCTTGGGCAGTATACTGTATACCGGGGTATTTGGAAATAGCCACAGGATGGTCTTTCAATACCTTCAATACTGTTGAAACTATAATTTTTGAAGTTTTTCAATAAATGTTCATATTTGTAGCTGCTTTTTAAGTAAATACCTGCAGTCAACTTGTGCAATTAGGAGATAATGCAGATCGCGTTCTTCATTTCACCTATCACATTATTTAACATTATGAGCCTTCCGTAGTTCCCCAGAACTGTTGAGCCAGTCACGTGTTTGTTTGTAAATAACACAAAGGGAGAAAGCAGGAGCAGGTGAGTCCAGCTGTGTATTGACAGGGGTCGCGTTTTATATTGAAAGTCTTTTTTTTTGTTGCTTCAATACAGTGATCAGGGTCGTGCAACTATAGTTATCCTTGACAGAAAATACATTAGTGCAACACATTCGGCACTATTTGGCTGGCAGCCACACAAGTAAATGAGCTTACAATGAAAAAGCTGAGTCTTTTTTTTGTAAAAACCTATGTATGGCCATCATATTTCTAATGTTTATCATAGAAAGAATGCAACCAGCTACATTTCCTAATGTTTTGCTTAAAGTTAATCTTGCATTTTACCTTAGAAAAGTAGGCTGGCTATACCAAGTAAAGTACCAGAGAAAAGTAGCTACACATCAGTCAGAGAGCGGTCTTTTGATAGATGAGAAATCACGAACGGGAAATCTGAGTGAAGAAGTGCAACTAAAGAACAACATTTGTTTGATGCTGAGCAAAAATAAACATAAGCAGTATTTTAAGTCTGTGTTTGCAAAACGCAGCAAGACATTTCTTATGCTATTTATATTTTTTCCTGCATGAAAAACAAAGAATTCTGCATTGGGCGGCCCCTAAGTTTAACTTGCTAGTTATCTAAGTAAGTGGCTGAATTAGTAAGGTTACAGGGCATCATATTGTGTTAGCTTTAGGGCTGACCACAATTAGTCGACCGGTCAATTGTTTGGTAGACCAATACTATTTTTTTTGTCGAGGAGTAGTATATATACAGTACCAGTCACTAACTGTAAGTCGCTCTGGATAAGAGCGTCTGCTAAATGACTAAAATGTAAATGTAAAAGTTTGGAAACACCTACTCATTGAAGGGTTTTTCTTTATTTGTACTATTTTCTACATTGTAGAATAAGTGAAGACATCAAAACCATGAAATAACACATATGGAATCATGTAGTTACCAAAAAAAAGTGTTAAATAAATCAAAATATATTTTATTTTTGAGATTCTTCAAATAGCCACCCTTCGCCTTGATGACAGCTTTGCACACTCTTGGCATTCTCTCAACCAGCTTCATGAGGTAGTCACCTGGAATGCATTCAATTAACAGGTGTGCCTTCTTAAAAGTTAATTTGTGGAATTTCTTTCCTTAATGCGTTTGAGCCAATCAGTTGTAAGCATGCTTTTCATTGACTATAGCTCAGCATTCAACACCATAGTACCCTCCAAGCTCATCATCAAGCTCGAGGCCCTGGGTCTGAACCCCGCCCTGTGCAACTGGGTCTTGGACTTCTGTAGCTCAATTGGTAGAGCATGGCGCTTGTAACGCCAGGGTAGTGGGTTCGATCCCCGGGACCACCCATACGTAAAAATGTATGCACGCATGACTGTAAGTCGCTTTGGATAAAAGCGTCTGCTAAATGGCATATTATTATTATTCCTGACGGGCCACCCCCAGGTGGTGAAGGTAGGAAACAACAACTCCACTTCGCTGATCCTCAACACTGGGGCCCCACAAGGGTGCGTGCTCAGCCCCCTCCTGTACTCCCTGTTCACCCATGACTGCGTGGCCAAGCAAGCCTCCAACTCAATCATCAGGTTTGCAGACGACACAACAGTAGTAGGCTTGATTACCAACAATGACGAGACCGCCTACAGGGAGGAGGTGAGGGCTCTGGGAGTGTGGTGCCAGGAAAATAACCTCTCACTCAACGTCAACAAAACAAAGGAGATGATTGTGGACTTCAGGAAACAGCAGAGGGTGCACCCCCCTATCCACATCGACGGGACCGCAGTGGAGAAGGTGGAAAGCTTCAAGTTCCTTGGCGTACACATCACCGACAAACTGAAATGGTCCACCCACGCAGACAGTGTGGTGAAGAAGGCTCAGAGCCTCTTCAACCTCAGGAGGCTGAAGAAATTCGGCTTGGCACCTAAAACCCTCACAAACTTTTACAGATGCACAATTGAGAGCATGCTGTCAAGGCTGTATCACCACCTGGTACGGCAACTGCACCGCCCGCAACCGCAGGGCTCTCCAGAGGGTGGTGCGGTCTACCAAACGCATTATCGGGGGCAAACTACTCGCCCTCCAAGACACATACAGCACCCGGTGTCACAGGAAGTCCAAAAAGATAATCAAGGCCATCAACCACCCGAGCCACTGCATGTTCACCCCGCTATCATCCAGAAGGCGAAGTCAGTACAGGTGCATCAAAGCTGGGACCGTGAGAATGAAAAACAGCTTCTATCTCAAGGCCATCAGACTGTTAAATATCCATCACTAGCACATTAGAGGCTGCTGCTGCCTACTGAAATCACTGGCCACTTTAAGAAATAGAACACTAGTCACTTTAATAATGTTTACATATCTTGCACTACTCATCTCATATGTATATACTGCATTCTATTCTATAATATTCTACTGTATCTTAGTCCATGCCGCTCTGTCATTGCTTGTCCATATATGTATATTTTCTTAAATTCCATTCCTTACTAGTTTTGTGTGTATTAGGTATATGTTGTGAAATTGTTAGATATTACTGCACGGTCGGAGCTAGAAGCAAAAGCATTTTGCTACACCCGCTATAACATCTGCTAAACACGTGTATGTGACAAATAAAATCTGATTTGATTTGTGTTGTGACAAGGTAACGGGGGGCATACAGAAGATAGCACTATTTGGTAAAAAACCAAGTCCAAATTATGGCAAGCACCGCTCAAATAAGCAAAGAGAAACGACAGTCCATCATTACTTTAAGACATGAAGGTCAGTCAATCGGGAACATTTCAAGAACTTTGAAAGTTTCTTCAAGTGCAGTCGCAAAAACCATCAAGCACTATGATGAAACTGGCTCATGAGGACCGCCACAGGAATGGAAGACCCAGAGTTACCTCTGCCGCAGAGGACAAGTTCAATAGAGTTACCAGTCTCAGAAATTGCAGCCCAAATAAAGGTTTCACCGAGTTCAAGTAACAGACACATCTCAACATCAACTGTTTAGAGTAGACTGTGTGAATCAGGCCTTCATGGTCGAATTGCTGCAAAGAAACCACTACTAAAGAACACAAATAATAAGAAGAGACTTGCTTGGTCCAAGAAACACAAGCAATGCACATTAGCCCAATGGAAATGTGTCCTTTGGTCTGGAGTCCAAATTTGAGATTTTTGGTTCCAACCGCCGTGTCTTTGTGAGACTTGGTGTGGGTGAACGGATGATCTCAGCATGTGTTTTTCCCACCGTAAAGCATGGAGGGGGTGGTGTTATGGTGTGGGGGTGCTTTGCTGGAGACACTGTCAATGATTTATTTAGAATTCAAGGCACACTTAACCAGCCTGGCTACCACAGCATTCTGCAGCGATACGCCATTCCATCTGGTTTGGGCTTAGTGGGACTATAATTTGTTTTTCAACAGGATAATGACCTAACACACCTCCAGTCAGTGTAAGGGCTATTTTACCAAGAAGGAGAGTGATGGAGTGCTGCATCAGATGACCAATTGAGATGGTTTAGGATGAGTCGAACCACAGAGTGAAGGAAAAGCAGCCAACATGTGCTCAGCATATGTGGGAACTCCTTCAAGACGGTTTAAAAAGCATTCCAGGTGAAGCTGGTTGAGAGAATGCCAAGAGTGTGCAAAGCTGTCATCAAGGCAAAGGGTGGCTATTTGAAGAATGTCAAATATAAAATATATTTAGATTTGTTTAACACTTTTTTTTGGTTACTACATGATTCCATGTGTTATTTAATAGTTTTGATGTCTTCACTATTATTCTACAATGTAAAAAATTGTAATAAGAAAAGAAAAACCCTTGAATGAGTAGGTGTCCAAACTTTTGATTGGTACTGTGTAATTAATATATAGATCACACACACACACATTACCGTTCAAAAGTTTGGGGTCACTTAGAACTGTCCTTGTTTTCGAAAGAAAAGCAATTTTTCTTAAAAAAGAACAACAAATTGCTCAGAAATACAGTGTAGACATTGTTTATGTTGTAAATGGCTATTGTAGCTGGAAACGGCTGATTTTTTATGGAATATCTACATCGGCGTACAGAGGCCCATTATCAGCAACCATCAGTCCTGTGTTCCAATGGCACGTTGTGTTTGCTAATCCAAGTTTATCATTTTAGAAGGCTAATTGATCATTAGAAAACCCTTTTGCAATTATGTTAGCACAGCTGAAAACTGTTGTGCTGATTAAAGAAGCAATAAAACTGGCCTTCTTGAGACTAGTTGAGTGTCTGGAGCATCAGCAATTGTGGGTTCGATTACAGGATCAAAATGGCAAGAAACAAATAACTTTCTTCTGAAACTCATCAGTCTATTCTTGTTCTGAGAAATTAAGGCTATTCCATGCGAGAAATTGCCAAGAAACTGAAGATCTCGTACAACGCTGTGTACTACTCCCTTCACAGAACAGCACAAACTGGCTCTAACCAGAATAGAAAGAGGAGTGGGAGGCCCCGGTGCACAACTGAGCAAGAGGACAAATACATTAAAGTATCTAGTTTGAGAAACAGATGCCTCACAGGTCCTCAACTGGCTGCTTCATTAAATAGTACCCGCAAAACACCAGTCTCAACATCAACAGTAAAGAGGCGACTCCGGGATGCTGACCTAGGCAGAGTTGCAGCCTATAAGCTTCTAAAGCCATGACATCATTTTCTAGAATTTTCCAAGCTGTTTAAAGGCACAGTCAACTTAGTGTATGTAAACTTCTGACCCACTGGAATTGTGATAGTGAATTATAAGTAAAATAAATCTGTCTGTAAACAATTGTTGGAAAAAATTACTTGTGTCATGCACAAAGTAGATGTCCTAACCGACTTGCCAAAACTATAGTTTGTTAACAAGAAATTTGTGGAGTGGTTGAAAGACGAGTTTTAATGACTCCAACCTAAGTGTATGTAAACTTCAGACTTGACCTGTAAGTGTCAAACTATGCATAGACGGCTTGACAGAAATGGTAGCAGAAGGTGAATGTTGAACTTGTGTTGCACACATATCCAGATGATGCTGCGTACCATTATGCACAATAATGCTTTAGGTGGGATCGAGGCGGCAGTCTTGTTCGCGACGAGGCTAGTGCTTTGGTGGTGCTACAGCGTGCAGTTTCTGGCGAACGTTAGTTAGCTTACGCCTCGATCACAACGACAGCGACATTGCGTTTTGGTACACCAGAAGTACATTAATTTCCAATGGAATGCTGCGTTTGCCTTGCAGCATTGCGTTGCAGATGCAGTTGCAGTGCGTTCTTAACCCGGAAGCCAGCCGCTGCGCCACTCGGGAGGCCGCTTGTAACATTTTATAAAATATTCTGGGCCCTCAGTTTCCTGCACCAGTGAGCTCGGGACAGACACAGCTGTAGGCTATTTGCACAAGGGATAATAAGTAATCAGGTAGGCCTATTTTATGATGTTTCCTCTGGATCAGAGTATGACATTGTTCCCTTTCTTGCTGAGTGGTTATCGAAATGGAGAGAGCTCGAAAAGGATTTTCAAATACACTGAGGAACAATTGTCATTGTCAATGGATGTAAAAACAGACTTTGTTTGTTTGCTGTTTCAGGTGAAGAAAACATTACTTTGAGAAGCTCCACAGCTCATTAGTGGTGGTGCGTTAAGCCAATCAGAAATACTATCAGATACCCAAATGGGAACATTTATATGCCTATATTTGCACGCAGGCCAGGTAGCCTATGGGCAGTAGCGCTGCGTGGGTAAAATCACTGGGGAAGCCAAGACAGGGAAGAAAAAGCGAAATTACAACCTGTGTGTTGTGATAATTGCGTTGTTTGCTCTATAACCTGTTGCGACCGTGAGACAGACAGACATATAGATAGGATATACTACCGTTCAAAAATATGAGGTGTACCTGTGGCTGTATTTCAAGGCGTACCTTCAAACTCAGTGCCTCTTTGCTTGACATCATGGGAAAATCTAAAGAAATCAGCCAAGACCTCAGAAAAAAATTGTAGACCTCCACAAGTCTGGTTCATCCTTGGGAGCAATTTCCAAACGCCTGAAGGTACCAAGTTCATCTGTACAAACAATAGTACGCACGTATAAACACCATGGGACCACGCAGCCGTCATACCGCTCAGGAAGGAGACGAGTTCTGTCTCCTAGAGATGAACGTACTTTGGTGCGAAAAGTGCAAATCAATCTCAGAACAACAGCAAAGGACCTTGTGAAGATGCTGGAGGAAACAGGTACAAAGTATCTATATCCACAGTAAAACGAGTCCTATATCGACATAACCTGAAAGGCCGCTCAGCAAGGAAGAAGCCACTGCTCCAAAACCGCCATTAAAAAGGCAGACTACGGTTTGCAACTGCACATGGGGACAAAGATCATACTTTTTGGAGAAATGTCCTCTGGTCTGATGAAACAAAAAAAGAACTGTTTGGCCATAATGACCATTGTTATGTTTGGAGGAAAAAGGGGGTTGCTTGCAAGCCGAAGAACACCATCCCAACCGTGAAGCACGGGGGTTGCAGCATCATACTGTGGGGGTGCTTTGCTGCAGGAAGGACTGGTGCACTTCACAAAATAGATGGCATCATGAGGAAGGAAAATGATGTGGATATATTGAAGCAACATCTCAAGACATCAGTCAGGGAGTTAAAGCTTGGTCGCAAATGGGTCTTCCAAATGGACAATGACCCCAAGCATACTTCCAAAATGGCTTAAGGACAACAAAGTCAAGGTATTGGAGTGGCCATCACAAAGCCCTGACCTCAATCCTATAGAAAATGTGTGGGCAAAACTGAAAAAGCGTGTGCGAGCAAAGAGGCCTACAAACCTGACTCACTTACACCAGCTCTGTCAGGAGGAATGGGCCAAAATTCCCCCAACTTATTGTGGGAAGCTTGTGGAAGGCTACCCGAAACATTTGACCCAAATTAAACAATTTAAAGGCAATACTGTATGAAAAATGTATGCACTCACTAACTGTAAGTCGCTCTGGATAAGAGCGTCTGCTAAATGTAATGCTACCAAATACTAATTGAGTGTATGTAAACTTCTGTCCCACTGGGAATGTGATGAAATAAATTTAAGCTGAAATAAATCACTCTACTATTATTCACATTTATTTCACATTCTTAAAATAAAGTGGTGATCCTAACTGACCTAAGACAGGGAATATTTACTAGGATTAAATGTCAGGAATTGTGAAAACTGAGTTTGAATGTATTTGGCTAAGGTGTATGTAAACTTCCGACTTCAACTGTATTTTCGAAAAATCCAATATATGCACCACACAGAATGCACTACAACTGCCTCTGACACCTCGATCACACCAACAGTGCCATTGCATTTTGGTACACCAGAAGTACATTATTTTCTAATGGAACGCTGTGTTTGCCTTGCAGTATTGTGTTGCAGAGGCAGTTGCAGTGCATTCTGTGTTGGATTTATCAAACCGTATGTGTAGACGGCTAGACAGAAATGGTAGCAGAAGGTGAATGTTTAACTTTTGTTGCACACATATCATTTTACATTACATTTTAGGCATTTAGCAGACGCTCTTATCCAGAGCGACTTACAGTTAGTGAGTGCATACATTTCATACTGGCCCCCCGTGGGAAATGAACCCACAACCCTGGCATTGCAAGTGCCATGCTCTACCAACTGAGCTACACGTGGCCACTCATGTGGTTTAGGCTGAATTCCATTCAAATTACAGCATTTTGGAATTAACATAGCATGAAATTCATCTTCCACTACACTTTGGGATTACATTAGATTCAAATGACAGCATTTGGGATTGTGTAAGAACAGTGAGTCACACATAAATAAATAATAAATAGGTCATTTAGCAGACTTACAGGAGCAATTAGGGTTAAGTGCCTTGCTCAAGGACACATCGACAGATTTTTCACCTAGTCGGCTCTGGGATTAGAACCAGCGACCTTTTGGTTACTGGCACAACTCTCTTAACCACTAAGCTACCTGCCGCCCCGTCACATAGCCCTGGTTACAGAGTTAAGGTCAAGAGTTTCTCACTCACACCTCTTAGCCTCTTGAAAAGTAAGGACATACCAAGTGACATTTCCTTGACAAAACTTCAGACAAATGCAATGTTTAAAGTATTCTCTCAAAGCATGGTTGCTAAGAAATAGTCAATCCAGATAACAGATATCCAGATGATGCTGCGTCACATGCAAAAACTATATCTGTGTGATCGAGGCATGAAACGCAATGCTGCAAGTCAAAAGCAGCATTCCATTAGAAATGAATGTACTTCTGGTGTAACCAAAATTGAACGACACGGTCGGTGTGATCGAGGCGTTCCCTAAAACCGACATGATTTTAGTGGTATGGCAACGCGAGACTACCAAAGCACAGACATCACCTTAGTTGCAGCAAGCTGAAGCGCATCTAAAGTAAAAGTGTTGTTCAGGTCAATTGTCTGTTTGGTGGAAAATGTGGGGGAAATCTAGCGAAATTACTTGAACACTACACTAGCTAAGTCACTGATGACACTTGCTATATGTATTACGTTGACGTTATGATTATGAGGCGGGTGAATCAAAACCTCGCATGAGGTAGCATTATGCTAACATTAGGTAGCCAACGTTAGTTAGGCGGCTAACTAAAATTGTTAGCTACAGTAGCTAAAGTTAGGTACAAGCCGATTTAGCTAAATGTACTTCTCAATTGTGTTTGTGAGCTAATCCGCCCATTCTACCAACTGGCAGCGTAGTTAGAATACCAAACCTGTTCTAGTTAGCTACCTACCGGTAACTGTTTGTACAACAACCATAGCTAGCTAGACGTTACCTGTCTGATGTTGACCGTCGACGTACTAAAATGCGGTGATGTCTTCTCCGTTGCGACTCTTCTTCGGCCCTGTCATAATAATCCGATTTTCTTCCAATCCCTTTTGTTTTTGAAGACAAATGTCTAAATCCCACAAATATTTTAGTGTGAAGGACCGTGTCTTCTGACCTAGTCTAGCTAGCTAGATAATTGTCTTCATGCTGAGTTCAACGCGGGCGCCATTTCCATGTATAGCTAGCTACTGTGCAGCATTGTGAAACTAGTGACATTAAGGTCACGTGATCATACGGATATCTTTCAAAATAAAAGTCCCTGATAAATGTTACTTGGCTGTTAACAGGACGTTTTTCTGATTTAAAACCACCAAAAATTTGTGTTTTAAATTACTGAAACATAAAATAGAAACAATATATTATAGAAATCAATTAACAAATATCGATTTACTGTATGATTTTGCATACTATAATGATAATGAGGTTTTTTGTTATAGTCCCCTGTAAAAAAACAGCAACAACAACACAATACTAACACTGTTGCTGGAAGTATTAGTGGTTTTTAACTGCTAACAGAACATCATTTAATCATATTTTTAATACAGCTCCTCATTGCAGCCGCCTACAGCTGTTTTCTACTGTACTGTTAAAACTATAGAAGTTGTCATCATAAAAGGGGGTGTTTTGTAATCTTCAGATCCTTTCCTAAAAACATCCAGTGTCATACCATAGAGATTGACCACATAAGATACTTTTTTCTACAGAAATCTACTGTCACTTGATAGCAAAATAGTTTTTTCCATTAGTCTACACATCTAATTTCTACTGTACCATTTAAACTATACAAGTTGTGACCTCACAAGGGGGGTATTTCAGAAGCCTCGGACCATTTACTAATAACATCCAGTGTCACACCATAGAGATTGACCACATAAGATAGTTTTTTTCTTTCATAAATGTACCGTCACCTCTAACATTCTCGACAAACTATGCAGGTATTCCTAGGAATCACCCGGAGAGCTACCATTACTTCATCTGGAATAACTTCTTCAAGCACGTTGACATCAAATCGGAGAACACCCATATTCTGAATAATAACACTGCCTTCCTCATAGAGTATGATTCCTCCTAGAACATCAAAGCTGCTGGAGGAATCTACCTCTTTGTTGGAGGTAGGTAGGGAGGATAATGATTATGGAATACAATAGAGTATAGATTGTATTTACTATATTATAAAGCTGCTGGAGGAATAGATGTTTTTGTTGGAGGTAGGTAGAATAATGACGATAGAATAGAATAGAGTATATTGTTATTCAATTATATTCTCCACTGAACAATAATATAAACGCAACATGTAAAGTGTTGGTCCCATGTTTCATGAGCTGAAATAAAATATCTCAGAAATGTTCCATACAAACAAAAAGCTTATTTCTCTGAAATTATGTTTACATTCCTGTTAGTGAGCATTTCTCCTTTCCCAAGATAATCCATTCACCTGACAGGTGTGGCATATCAATAAGCTGATTAAATACAGCATGATCATTACACAGGTGCACCTTGTGCTGGGGACAATAAAAGGCCACTCTAAAATGTGCCGTTTTGTCACACAAAACAATGCCACAGATGTCTCAAGTTTTTAGTGAGCGTGCAATTGGCATGCTGACTGCAGGAATGTTAACCAGAGCTGTTGCCAGATAATTAAATGTTAATTTCTCTACCATAAGCCAACTCCAATGATGTTTTAGAGAATTTGGCAATACGTCCAACCGGCCTCACAACCACAGACCATATGTATGGCATTGTGTGGGCGAGCGGTTTGCTGATGTCAACAGAGTGTCCCATGGTAGTGGTGGGATTATGGTATGGGCAGGCATAAACTACAGACAACGAACACAATTGCATTTTATCAATGGCAATTTGAATGCACAGCGATTCCGTGACAAGATCCTGAAGTCCATTGTGTTGCCATTCATCCGACACCATCACCTCATATTTCAGCATGATAATGCACAGCCCATGATGCAATTCTGAAAATGTCCCAGTTCTTCCATGGCCTGCATACTCACCAGAAATGTCACCCATTGAGCATGTTTGGGATGCTCTGGATCGACATCAACGACAGCGTGTTCCAGGTCCCGCCAAGTGGGACAACATTCCACAGGCCACAATCAACAGCCTGATCAACTCTATGCAAAGGAGATGTGTCGCGCTGCATGAGGCAAATGGTGGTCACACCAGATACTGACTGGTTTTCTGATCCACACCCCAATTTTTTTTCTGTGACAAACATATGCATATCTGTATTCCCAGTCATGTGAAATCCATAGATTAGGGCCTAGTGAATTTATTTCCAGTGGTGGAAAAAGTAGCCAATGCTCATACTTGAGTAAAAGTAAAGATACCTTAATAGAAAATGACTCAAGTAAAAGTGAAAGTCACCCAGTAAAATACTACTTGAGTAAATGTCTAAAAGTATTTGGTTTTAAATATACTTAAGTATTGTAAGTAAATGTAATTGCTCAAATATACTTAAGTATCAAAAGTAAATGTACAAATAATTTCAAATCCCTTATTTTAAGCAAACCAGGTGGTGACATTTCCTTGTTGTTGTTTTTTATTGAAAGCTAGGGGCACACTCCCAACACTCAGACATTATTTACAAACGAAGCATGTGTATTTAGTGAGTCCGCCAGATCAGAGGCAGTAGGGGCGACCAGGGATGTTCTCTTGATAATTGTGTGAATTGGACCCTTTTCCTGTCCTGCTAAGCATTCAAAATGTAAAGAGTACTTTTGGGTGTCAGGGAAAATGTATGGAGTAAAAAGTACATTATTTTCTTTAGGAATGTAGTGAAGTAAAAGTAAAAGTAGTCAAAAATAGAAATAGTAAAGTAAAGTACAGATACACAAAAAAACGACTTAAGAAGTACTTTTAAGTATTTTTACTTAAGTACTTTACACCACTGTTTATTTCAATTAACTGATTTCCTTATATGAACTGTAACTCAGTAAAATCTTTGAAATTGTTGCATGTTGCATTTATATTTTTGTTCAGTATAATTTAAAGCTGCTTGGGGAATTGACCTCTTTGTTGGACATAGGGAGGATGACAATGATGATGCCTAATTACACAATAGCAAGTGCTCAATCAAACAGACACACACCCATGATTTAATTATATTTCAAGTTTATAGTCTTGTTCAGATATGTCATTAACCAGGTTTCCGTCCAACCATTTTATGCGGATGAATTACCTGACCCATGTAAAATTCACGATGGGGTTGATGGAAATAGGAAATGCCGGTACAATTTTCATAATGTCGACAGACAATTTGTTCGTTCGACATGTTGGGATCTTTTTGCATAATATAATTTTGATATAATAACCATCATATTGAAGTAAACTTGGAGTCATAAGACGATATGTGGTCTTCCCAATACGACTTGTGAAAGCATGCAGGTTATTAGTCTAAACATTAGGAATGGGTCGAAATTTGCACAATGGTTACCTGGAGGAAAATGGGGGAGGGTCATGCTTTTTCAATTTCAGTCAAGGGGAGTTTTTTTTTTTTTTTTTTGGGGGGGGGGGGGGGGGGGGGGGGGGGGGGGGGGATGGATCAGCTTAATATTGCAGATAGATTGTATCTTCTATCAATGTAATTGTCTGCATCACTTCCAATCCCCCATGTTTTTTTTTAAATGTTTTAAAATATATATATATACTCCCCTTTATTACTTTTCAACCCCACCATCCTTTCCCTACTTGGAGTAAATTAGTGAACAACAATGCCCAGGCCTCTACTTCCGGTCTATACTTACTATCTACACCTTATGGACAGAGTTAATTTTACAATAATTATACTATATATATATATATATATATTTTTTTTTTTTATTGCTCCTGAACTTCTTCTACTCTCAACCTCTCCGATCATTTTCATGATGTCCATCCGGTTTGCTTCTATATGCCATATCTTTCTAACTGTGCTCTTTCCCAAAAGCTCCCAACATACAACCTATATACTTATTATGGACACAGTATACTTACATTATTAGCTATCTTTGTTATTATTTGTTGTTATTTGTTATTAGTCCCATCCTTCAACTCTATTCAATACCTCCCATCTATCTCTTAACACCATCCATATAGGATTTCTATTTGCCATATATATTTCAACCGTACTGTGATGTTTTACAAAAGTTCTGAACCTTTCTATTCTCATTGCTTCTACAGATTGTGAATTAAAAATAAACATTTTTGCTAAAAGTATTATTATATTATTGATTGATTGACTATGACTTTTCAGATCACCCAGTAATGCTATCTGCAAGGTTAGTTCCAGGTAAATATTGCAATCCTTTAGCCATTGCTGGACCTGTGTCCAAAAACAAGCTACAAATGGACAGAACCAAAACAAAACAAATGATCTAATGATTCTGTCTCTTCACAGCAAAATCTGCAGAGCTGGGAAGATTGTATCCCCCATATAAATAACATTCTATTGGTAGCAAGAATTTTATATAATAATTTAAATTGAAAGATTCTAATTTTTGAATCCGGTGTCGTTTTGCGTGTCAGTTCATAAACACTATGCCATGGGATCGGTACGTCAAAGATCTCTTCCCAACTATTTTGCAATCTATATGGGACGGCTGTCAATCCTTTGGTCCTTAAGTGAAACTGATATACTTTTTCATTTATCACAGTTTTCCTTAACCAATTATGTTCTTTAATGCAAGGCCGACAGACAAGTTCCTTACTTTCTCCCCCTTCCACTTTCCTCTTCCACTTTTGCGGTAAGGCTGCAATTATTTGGTTGTAATTTTGGGTAGAGCAGACATTTCCATATGTTTTTGTCAGCTGCATGTGCGACATAACTCCACCAGTCCTACCGATGATATCATTTACGAAGATTATATCTTTTTTAAACATTCTGTCAAAAAAGAAAGGTTTTTTGTCAATTAGTATATTTGAATTTAACCACAATATTTGTTGCATTATTTGTTCTGTCGTTTCTGGAGGATTAAATTGAAATTGCAACCAACTTTCTATGGCTTGTTTTAGAAATAGGGACATTTGGGAGATTATTTCCTTTTCAAATAACTGAAAGTGAGAGGTTGTAATCTGAATAAAGGGAAAAAGGCCTTTCTTGAACATTGGGTGAGACAATCTTACTAATTTGCTTGAGAACCAGTTCGGATTTAAGTATAACTTTTGTATGACTGAAGCTTTTAGTGATAGGTCTA